ACATGCCTCGTGAACCATGATCTCACAGTTTACGCGTGGGTCGACTCTATGGCAGTGTTAGGCTGGCTTAACGGCGACTGCAACCGTTGGAAGGCCTTTGTGGCGAACCGAGTGAAACAAGTCACTGATTCGGTGCCATCAGAATGCTGGAGATACGTCAAGTCCAAAGAGAACCCGGCTGACTGCGCTAGCAGGGGTCTCATGCCGCTGCAACTCAAGGAGCACACGCTGTGGTGGCAGGGTCCCCATTGGCTTCTGGATTACAAACCTGAAACAGAATTAAACAAACATTATACAACAAATCAAGACTTAAAAATTATAAAGCATGTTAATATTATTCAATTATCAAACAGTTATGAAATTATTGAGCGAATTTTAACCAATACAAGTTCTTTGATGACTGCAATTAGAGTATTGGCAAGGATAATAAGGCTAAGTCGGAAAAAATCCCAATCTACATACCTTACTTTACAGGAGTTGAATTATGCAAAAATTAAAATTATTAAAAGCATTCAAGAACGATATTTTTCTGACGAAATAAATAAATTACGTGATGGGAAGTCCGTAAACAATGTTAGCAAAATTTGTAATTTAAATCCAATATATGAAAATGGTATGCTGCGCGTCGGCGGCAGACTCAAGCATGCAAACCTAGATCCAGAAATGAAACATCCAATCATCATTCCTAACTCTAGGTTAGCCGAACTTATTATTGATCAAGCGCATCTAGTTACATGCCACGGAGGTGCACGTTTAACTACTGCCTTCATCAGAAAAAGGTATTGGATATTAGGAGGTGTCAATGCTACTAAGAAACGTCTTCGGCTGTGCGTCATATGCAAGAAAAATAGTCCAGGATGTCAACAACTAATAATGGGCAACTTACCAGCAGCAAGAACGAACCCATCTCGCCCATTTTATCACTGTGGGGTGGATTATACTGGCCACGTGAACATAAAAGCCAACAAGGGCCGTGGTATCAAGACTACGAAGGGATATGTGGCGGTATTCGTCTGTATGTCTACCAAAGCTGTTCACCTGGAGCTAGTTTCAGACCTTAGTACATCTGCCTTTCTTGCAGCGTTACGAAGGATGTCTGCCCGCAGAGGGGTTCCCGCCCACATGTATAGCGACCAAGGAACAAATTTCATTGGAGCTCGCAATCTATTAAAACAAGAAATAGAACAACTCCAACATATCAACGATCAAGCGTTTTGGACAGAGATAGCAAGCATGGGGTTGGAGTGGCATTTCAATGCGCCCTCATGGCCCTCAGCAGGTGGCTTATGGGAGGCTGCAGTCAAAAGTTTGAAACACCACTTAAAAAGAGTTGTTGGTGAGCAACGTCTCACATTCGAAGAGTTTACCACCTTACTCAGCCAGTTGGAAGGGTGCCTAAATTCCCGCCCACTCTGCCCACTTACGGAAGATCCCGATGATCTTAATTTCTTAACTCCATCTCACTTTCTTGCCAGCGGTCCTGTACTTACTCTTTATGACACCGAAAAGGACCTAAGAACGAGATGGTATCTTACTCAAAAAATCTTCGGTGACATATGGAAGCGTTGGCGTGACGAGTATTTAACCCAACTTTCATCAAGAAGCAAGTGGAGACAACCGCGAGAGAATATCAAGTTGAACGATGTTGTAGTCATCAAGGACGACAACTTGCCACCGGGTAAATGGAGTATGGGTCGTGTGGTAGAGCTGCATCCCGGTAGTGACGGTTACGTAAGAGTCGTTACGCTAAAAACAAAACACGGGTTAACTAAACGGCCCGTAATAAAATTATCAATCTTACCGGTTCAGGAAAACAAAGAGGTTCCCATCAAAGATAAAAATAATCAATCAACAAACCCCCAACAAGAATCAACCCCTAAAATAACCACAAAGAAAAAATGCAATTTATCGACAGTTGCTGCTACATTGTTATTATTTTTATTCGCCATTCCACCTATACAATGTTATTATCAAACTACAGTTTTACCAAGTAATAATAGCATTTACTTCGATCACGTTTCAAATATGAACTTGATACGCGACGAGTGGCGCCTAATTGTCTATTATGACACGCAGCCATATCAAGACGGCACTGCGGCGATCAACATGTACCTTACTTACCTCCAACATATATGTACAAAAATAAAACAACACTCTCATTGTGAGAATATCATGTTGCAACTACGACACGAAGTCACCGAACTAGAGTACTATAATAATATGCTGCTGAATCATCATTCTAACTTACCCGGCCGCTCCAAACGTGGACTAATCGACGGGGTCGGATATGTTGCTAACAGTCTGTTTGGTGTACTAGATGCAAAGTTTGCTGAAAAGTACGAACAAGACATTCATCTCATCAGAGAGAATCAAAATCATTTGGCTTCCCTCTGGAAAAATCAAACTTCGGTGGTGGAAGCCGAATTTAACCTGTTAAAGCGCACTGAAACCATGATAGATAAGCAACATAAACTAATAAATCAAAAAATTAACTCTGTAGAAAAATCAGTTAACGTTGTACAAACGGAAATGCAAAACATTTCACTAGCCAACGAATTTATCACGACTGCTATGATAGCAAATAACGTTATCTTCAGCTTAAAAAATATACAACAAACTTTACTTGACGCTATCACAAATATATATAATGGAAAGTTCAATTTTCATTTACTTACACCTCTCCAATTGAGGCAAGAATTAGCCGTCATCACAGAGCAACTTCCTAAGGACATGGCGGTACCTATCAAGAAAACTGACAACTTAGCCGAAATTTATAACTTACTAAGAGTACAAGCTAGAGCCACAACAAATTTTATCATCTTTGAGATAAAGATTCCCCTTATCTCTGAAGAAACCTACGAGATTTCACATCTCATTCCGGTACCCCACCTGACGAAAAATCAAACCGAAACTGTAACTCAATCAGTATCAAGTTACGTTGCCGTCAATCTCAAACAAGATTCATATATGAAATTAGAAGACGATGACTTAAGATTGTGTACACCAAAAAACCCATTTACTACCTTATGCCACTTCAAGAGGCCTATTTACATTATCAAGAATGACCACAATTTTTGTGAAGTTATCCCGTACACAAATATATGTAAAACAATAACAAAGCCTTGTAGAAACCGATGGATTGAATTAAATAAGCCAAATAATTACTTTTATTTTTGTTGTCAACAATGCCACTTAAAACTGATATGCGACGATCAAGTTACGCCGCTGCAATTGAGTCACGCTGGATTTTTTAACGTTAATCAAGCATGCATTATAAAATCAGCTGATTTCTTTACATACTCTGAAAGACAACAAACCAGAAAAATTGAAATTAAAGCAGATGTAACATTACCGGAGTTTTCTCAGTTAAACTACTTACTAAACATTTCCTTACCAAAATCCTCCACTGATATTAACCAAGCAGAAATCGATGACCGATCATATCAGCTCCAAAAGATTCAAGGCGACATAGACACCATGAAGCGAGAGCAACCCCTGGTGGAAGGGGTTTCCTACCACGACGTCCACCACTACGTGGCGATATATGTTTTGTTCGCCATAGTGGGAGTCATAGCAGTAGCCCTAGTATGGAGACACGTCAGGACGCGCGTCTCGTTGGCAGCGGCGGCAGCTCCCGGGCAGGCGGCGGCGCCGGCGCCTGCTGCCCGCGCGCCTCCCACACACCCGGCCAACCCAAGCAGTGCACGGTGCAGTGATAATTATAGTGTGATAAGTGAGTTTAACAAAAATTGTGCGCGAGTGTCCTTGAAAAATAAAGGTACGCCGCCAACCGTACCGAGTGCGAGTAAACGAGTGATATTGAAAGATGTAGGGTCGTCCCCTATTGTGCATCGACCAGTATTCGTAACTGCGGACGATAAAACAGTATCTTAGTTTTTAACGATTTTTATGCCCTTCATCTTGTTAATTCATCGGGAAACTAACATAGATTTATTTTAGCTTTAGTAAAAATTAGATCACCTTGTTATCAATATTATTATTTCGCTTTCATCTAACTACTATCCTCCATTTTTCCCGCCCGGGAATATGTACGAGCAAGCGCGTACATCGTCACATCAGCACATTTCGTTGACCTAAATTACCTATTCACAATTAATTTTATTGCACAAAATCAGTTCGCAATCATCAACTCATCAAGTCACGCGTACTCATAGCAATTATTATTTTATAGTTATTTTTAGTCCTTTCTCCAAATATACAGTTTTATACTACAATATCAGTTTATCATTTAATAGTTCCAACCCGAACATGGAGGCTGGTATTTGCATCCTGAACCGCCGCTGCGTTTGCCCAGGCCTGATAACGCCTCTGTTTTGGCGAGTGGCAGTTTACAGTAACAACCAAACCAAACACAAAACGAACGAACCAAGGAACAAAACGTTCCATACCCTGGAGGACGACATCGGCGACAGAATCAGCAACGACGTTGGGATCATTCTGCGAGAAGCAACCCGGCCCCAAGGGAAGGACGCAAACAAAAAGAACGCATCCCAATCTGCTGACTTATAGTGCCACACACGGCGACAGCCAGCAAATTGCGGCCGCGGTGAGTAGGCGAGTGGCTCTATACTCCGGATTACATAATGGTCCTGGGAGCCAAGAGGGGACACTTTGTAATTATCCAGATGTGAGGTCAGCAGAAGGTCCAACAGTGAAGGTGTGTGTTCTTCGACATCTGGGGGGTTGGGCCTCCAGTAGTCTCAGTCACTCGGTGAAACACAGCACTAATGTCGGTCGAGCCAGCCCATTCTGCTGCAGCCTGAGCCACTGCGCGGCTCTCCCATGACTAACATAGATATTAAGATACTTTTTAATTCAAAAAGCTACCTAGCTTATGTAGTTTCAAAGTTATTTCGAGTTAACTGCGACCTTTTATTTTTGTGAGCGAGTGTAATTGTGCGATACTTGTTATTGGTTTTGGAATATAAAAACACTGGTTTATAAGAGATAAGTGACTGTATTTGGTTTGTTCACTGCAGCCGCTTCCCTCCCCTGTCGTCGGGCGGGGTCGGGGTGGGTTCGGGCTCGGGCCCGGGGTCGGGCGGGTCCCTGGGTCCCGGGTCGCTGGGTCCCGGGTCCCGGGGCGCGGGGTTCCTGGCGCCGGCGCCGCGCAAGCCGCCGCCGCCGCCGCCCGCGTTCAGGTCTGCTCTCGACCAAGATTTCATTACCGTCTCGCTGAGGTTCGCTTACTTTTACGTTCTCTTGCGTTCGTTTACACTTCCTCCTCCCGGCCGACCACTATGCGCTAGGATACATTAATGATGAGTGACCTGAAGTTTATTCCAAAAGGATATCTATACTTTATTGCTGAATAAGTTTTAGCTTAAGATAGTCACCGCATATGAATGCAGTTTTTTGCCAGATGATAGTTACCTGAAGATGAAAGGAATAGATAGTTATTCGTTTATGATATGTTTAATTTGACGATTGATGTCGGACAGCAAATCTGGCAACACGACCTCTGTAAAAGGAGGAAACAATGCTGTTAACCTACTAAAAGGGATAAATTAAATAAAAGTAACAAAGATCACGCATATTTATAGTGACTTTCTTAACGTTAGACGCGATTTTAAAATTGACCCTTTGTATACATATTTCTATGAACTTTTTCTTTATACGAAAAGTAATTTACTAGCGCACAGTGCGGTCTCTAACCCTACTCTCCTGCCTAGGGCTCCAATCTCTGATATTCTATGTAGTCTTACCGAGACTTTAACCGCTTATTTAATGATCTGTCAGATCTCGTGTCGTGTTTTTAAAGTCAGCAGATTTGGAGCTCTCACCTCCAGCCCAGATGTGACACAGTTCACAATTAACTATGACAACTGTTTGACATGCGGGCATATTAACTTATAATTTAACCTTCGGTTTATTATTTCATGTTTTGTTCTTATTTACTTTAAGTTACTTGTTAATCGCTTTGTCTGTGTATGTCTAATATTATATTAACTATAAGTACATCTTTTTCTTACATTTTCATTTCATGAGTATATTATAAAATTATCATTAATGAGAAACCGATGTACTGTAATAAAACTCATAGATATATTTTTAAATAAGAGTTAAATATTACATTTATTGTGCATTTTGCTATGCATGGATCGATGAATTGGAAATGATATGGAAACATTGCTCTATAACTTCAATACTAACGCGACACGTACACATACAAAACAAAATACTTTGACAAATCAAATATCTGCAAATGAAATTGGCTATCCATTCATTGGGTAAGATAATGTTAAACGAATAACACAACCAATACCAACCATGACGGGCGTGTTGATCACATTTTTTTCGCCCCGCCCACTGCATCGCAGTTTACGTGGAACCACTTTTAGCGCAGTTCATATACCATATCATTTTTTATTCGTTGGCATGGATATAAATACTCCACAATCAGACTATTTTAAAGATTCAAGATTAATTTCAAGAGTTATGTTAACCTCTTTAATCATCTAAACCTCCCAATCCCATATTGTTTACTAGTTCTACTAATAGAATAGAACAGAGAAAGTTTAAAGGCAGTGCGAGTTCTACAGTCCACTTCGTTAGAACTCTAGAATATATTTTCTATTATTTGAGTGTGGCAAATATCTTGAGTAACCGATTACTTACGCAGTAGAAATTTTTATATGTAAAATTGATTTATACTCAAGATGGTTGCTAGGGTGTATATCACATCTGATGTTCAGTGTCTATTTAATTTTTTATTTCGTGACTGGTTAATTGTTGAATAAAACGAAGCGGATACGGTACGATCACCAAATCCAGTATCGGCCGAACTATGCTCGGATACTATGTTATCGGCCACTTGAGGTTTTCTGGGATGACTGACGCCAGGTGGCAGCACTAAGACGAAAGGTCTACTCATCCGTCGAATCACGTATGTCGTCCTATGAATGCCGAATGAGCATTTAAATTGATCCATAGACTATTCTATGGATCGGTGACCGATCGTTCGATTAGTTCGTGCCAAAAAATTCATCAGAGCTATCATCACAGTGGCGCCAACTGGTGACGTAAATTTTTTTCATTGATCAAACGTTTGTGAAGTCGGGCTGGCGTCATCGGACCAGGATCGGTTTTGTAGTCCAGGGGCCCCCATAACAGAGATAAAGAAGGGGGAGGGGGGTGCAAAACGTACGTGATCCATCCTAGATTTAGAGTCCTCCACTCCCTCGTTGCCCCAGGGCCCCCATACCTCCAAATTCGGCCCTGCACGTTTGGCCGATGACGGCCGAGCATAGTTCGGCCCATAACGGATTAAGTGTAAGTGTGGGCCAATATTACAGTTGAACCAAGATCTTGTAGCACTTTTATGACATTGCTAGTGAAATAAGTTTAAAGCATGTACGTAAAATCTCCTCACTTACGAAACGTTTTAATTTCTAATAACTCGGTAATAGTAGGGACAATAATATTAGGATATTATAAGAGGCTTAATAACACCTTCCCTCCTGATTACGGCCACGCGCTACAAGATCTCGGTCGCACTATACAATTCGATTCAACTAAGAATAGGACCGACTGGGCGCCATATTGTGACGTCATAGCTGTCAAATCAAACCAGTTACAGTGAGCAAAAAAGTTTTTCTTTAATAAAACATATTTATTTTTTAAGACAGTGACAATAAAATATTAATCAGAATTGAGCTCTTTAATTCCGCTCATCTCTGTAGTTAGCATCATCACCAGTGCTGCCAACCCGAATTTTAGAAAATTTTGTGCCAAATGTTGGTAGAAGTTGGTAGAATGTAAAATGCAAAATTGGTAGATCTACCACCTCAATTTAGAAGATTTTTTAAGATTTAAAATGCATGCAATGCAATGCAGAGCACACTTCAGATCACACCTACATGATTTGCAATAAAAATATCCGTCACCCTTAGTAATTTCTTAAAGCCAAACTGCAAAATCTTTGTCTTTCTCCCATAATTTCGAATATTTTTGGTCATAGTGCCTTTTTTTAGGTTTTCGTGGCGGAGTTCCTAACCTAGAACTATGTGCATCGCTTTCGCTGCTGTCAGAATCCATTATATAAATAAATGCACGCAACATAGAACAAACAGCAATCAGCACCGTTAATATGCAGTTAATTAGTTTTTACAATAAAACAGGAGCAAAGATTCAACATTGATTCCGCAACAAACCAACCGGGAACAGGCCACAGTAGGAATAGTAAAATATGGGCGTGAAATTGTGCGAACGCCGAACTCATGGCGAACTGTTGCTTTTTTTTTGTGGTCCAGACCATAAGACTCTATGTATGCTTGACGCATCGTTGCTCACGCAATACATCGCAATGTCGCTCGTCGATATAAAAATAATTCAAAGTGGTGATATGTCAAACTAATTAAAAAATAGGTAGCTTTTAGGTCTAGGGTGGTAGATAGGTAGACTGAAGTGAAAATTGGTAGATCTACCAAAAAGTTGGTAGATATGGCAGCACTGATCATCACTGCTGCTTTCGGTTAAAATTAAATATCGATTATTGTAGATTTTGAAACGACAACTTTATTTAAAATAAAAACGGCTCTTTGTATTATCCGTATGTATAATAAAACTAAAGTTCATTATATTTCCATTTTGTAAACGTATCATATTATTTATCTCCTACTTTTGTTTAAAAATGTCTGGTATTTATTCTAAGAGTAGCTTGGTGCTAAAAAAAAGTGTTCCAAGTTTTTTTTTGCAAACCGTTCTTTTCAAGCGACATTTGACAGATGGAGGTCATCGGCTTTCCTATTCTTATTTGAATCGCATAGTAATTTGTCGCCCGCTCGGTTCATTGTGTTGGCTGGGAGCATCCAATTAAACACTTGTGGCAACAACAGACAGCAGCCGCCGCCGATGAAGTCGTGCCTGTCGTGCCACCAGCAGATCCACCGCAACGCGCCCATCTGCCCCCTCTGCAAGGCCAAGAGCCGCTCCAGGAACCCCAAGAAACCCAAGAAGAAATAGTCGCTGTAATCTGCCACAACAAAACACCGCGACCCATCCCCGCCGACGACGGCGCGACGGACCATGCTGTGTTACTCGTGATCTTCGCACAATATTTAATAACTTCGATGTGTTCCCCTTTCGTTTAATTAAAACTACCTATACTATAGATTTCACTGCCTGTATACAGAGGCCGATGCACGAATTTTGACTGCTCTATAATCGTTTCGCATCGTTAAAGTGTCTAGGGGTCATCCATAAATTACGTCACACGAATTTCATGTCTTTTTTGCCCCTCCCCCCGTCCTTGTCACATTTGTAAGACTCCCCCCCTCCCTAGTGTGACGTCACATATTTTGCAAATTTACATTTAGAAATCATTGAATGAAAACAGTGGTTCTGTTATCAGTTTTATTTCCATTTAAATTGTTTTTTCGTTATTATTATAATCAAATCAAACAATTAACAAAACAAAAAAAATACCGAACAAAAAGTGATTGACTATGTTAATTAAAGAAATTAACAAAACATAAAATATTAATAACATTATAATTAAATTAAAGATACAAACTTAATAATCTTGAGTCCATGGACATTGATCCCACTCCTTTAAATTATTTATAACTGGCATAGCACCACTTTGTTCTCGTTTGGGTTGTTAATGCTTTCGTAAAGTAATAGTTTCATCACTTAGATTTTAATATATTTTGAAATGTGACGTCACGAAATTTAGGACCCCTCCCACCCCTTGTCACACGATGTCACATTTCGTCGACCCCCTCCCTACCCCTTAAAGTGTGACGTAATTTATGGATGGCCCCCTATGAATCCTAAGCAGTGCCCCTACCGGACGTAAAAACAAACAATTATTTGCCCGCGCACGCGTTCCCTCCTTCCTACAATCTGGGGTCCTTTAATATAGGCGTGAAGAAGTATTTCTGCAGGCCAGGAAGGTGAGGATGGTTGGTGTGGCAGTTTATAACTGCTGTATAGATCGCGCCAATCTTCTAGTCCGCCCTGAACACTGCACAATTCGCGTCGAAGTAACAAATGACTCGTATTTAAAAGGACGAAGGTTGTGTTTAGGGCTGTACACCTGCACGAAACAACTTCAGAGCGGACTAGAAGTTTGTCGCGATCTGTACCAACTAACTTCGCGGTTGGACTCTATCACCACTTAACATCAGGTGGGGTAGAGTCATTTGCCTACCTGGCTATATATAAAAAAAAACTGGCGCCTTTCATACAAAATTTGCCAATGACGATACGATCATTGAGCTGTCAAAATTCGTACTTGGGCCTCAGTATATAGTCGTCGAACCAATATCTGTTATGTGAACTTTTTGGATGTTTCGACATTTTCATCATTATGACTAGTATACTAATCGAATTTTCGATTACAAAGGCTTCTATGTGAACATGATAACGAAAAAAAATGTACTATGTGCATCAGACAGAATATTGTCAAATATTAACTGCAGACTTAAAGTTAAATTTTGAAGTTATACTTCTTTAGGCGCGTTATGAAAAAATTATGAGAGAGAAAATTTTAAGATGCGCGCGCATTAATAAATAGATGATGTAATGGAAGGTGACTTCAGAAGTATCTCTGAAGTAATTTTTCAACTTGACGACTCTGTATATGATATACAGGGAGAAAAAAACAGCCCTCGCTGAGTTTCTTGCCGGTTCTTCTCAATACAAGGTCTCCCGCCGTAGTTTTGCGAACCGATGGCGTAGCTTCTTGACCTTCACAAGTGTTTGTAACAGCCTAGACTGAATAAATGCCATTTCATTTCTGTAACACAAAAGTAACACCATGAAGTTGGCCGCTAAACCGCACATAAGCTCGAAAAAAGCTGCCAAGAAAATAGAATCTCTATTGGTCGCGCATGTTGGCACGCTCGTCGCCTCTGATTACTGTTTTCATATTTAAAATATTTATTCACATTTCTAGCTTCTATATTCACAACACGTGTTTTAGTTTCATAGAAGTGCAAATTATATATGTGCTAATAAACTGTATTCAGTAGTGAATTAAATTGAATATTTTAATTATTTATTTAATTTTTCAAGTTAAAACTGCTTTTTTTTTACTGTGTTGACTATCCTTTTCCCAGTCCGTTTAATATTTTATTGTAATTAATTATTTGCATGCAATTAAAAACTAATTTTTAATGATGCCAAAGAAGTATAACTTCTCACGCGCGTACATAAGTACACGCACCCATTTTTTGTACAGATATTGGTGTGACATCGACCATATACTTTAAGGAAATCACAAAATGTCGAAATTCTGCAGACGATTTTAAACTGTGAACTCGACCGTTAAGGTTGAAATTATATTAAGTGTTTGTATGTATATGACAGGCAATTGTAGCGTTTAATCCGCCGTATTAACACGAGGGCAATGACAAAATATGTAAAATACTGGGCTGTATCACAGATTTTAAGTATATTTATAGGTGGCAAACTGATTGTTAATTTGGAGACTTCAAACGAGTAAGAATATTAATTTATGTATTAATATTATATTCTGTTGTAAGTGTCGTGCGTGCGCCGAATACCTGTAAGTATTCTAATAGAGTAGTATTTTTTATTTATTATACTTAACATAATCGTAAGAATCTGTTCTTAAGGCGACATAAGGATACGTGTGTCTATATTAGCGTAGGTATGTCTTGCAAACATTAATTTTAACAACGTATGTATGAAATACCGTTGTACTTTTTCACAATAATAAATACATTTATTCAAAGACATTTATTTTGTAGAAAATAACAATTTACATATTATATTATAATAATCATTATGGATCTCATTATTACTTATTCAGGTTTTCCTTTAAATTTTCTGCATATTATTTTAAAAACAAATTACATAAAAATATATTCTGAATCTTAAACTATTTATCTACTCGAGAATATTTTCGGAAATGGTTGTAAAGTTCAACGTTGCTTCGTACTTTAATATAGTTTTCCTATAAATCTTTACTGTCTGTACATTTTGTACATAATCACTATGAATTATAGATTTAAATCGAGTACTTGTTGTAGTTTTGATTACACAAATTGAAATGGGATAATGTGTTGCCATAATATCTTATGAAAATTAATGACCAGCATATCTGGGTGGCTAGTACAGAATAACAAATGATATTCGTTTGCAACTCCATCTAGTTTATTAGGAATGAATTAGTCCGCTTATTGCATACTTATAGATAGATTTGCATTTAATTATGTTTCAATGGATAGATGGCGCTGTCGTAACATCCTTCACCAGGGTCGTTTCCCGATCGGAGAAATATAGAAAATTTATATCTATATTGTCTTAAATCAGAGAATTTATAGCTAAGTATGTAGCAGTTCAGCCACTTTGATATGCAGATATTTTGTCTTATATTAATTTATGTTGTTTGTTAAATATCACTGACTAGGTAGAATTGTAGATTACATCATATTATTTAGTCTTAACCAATTGTGGTTACAAGCCAAAGTTCACGATGAATATCAACAATACAGAATGTGCCAAATAAGTTTATTCATGATGTACGAGTACATTATTTAGGTTAGCGGTACTGATAAGTAAGCATAATGTACATATTTACATAAACTGTGAACGTGATGTCGCAGCTGCTGGCTGCGTAGAGAAGACGGACGGACGGACAGATACTAAATGCTTGTGTCATATACTTTTCAGTTAAATGTAGGAAAAATTATCCAATACTTATTTCCCCAACTGACTTTAAGTTTTATATCACTTAATATAAGAATCACAATTGATTATAAAAAAAAAACAGTCTTTGTAATGACTTGTTGATACTGTACATGAATTAATTGTAACTACTTGTGTATACTTCTACGCCAGTTTTAAAAGTTCCAGCTATAATTTTGGTTTTTACTGCGTTTCTGTTATTTATACCAAAATCTAAACAGCAGAAAGTCAATCAACTCGACTACTAAATTGTACAGTCCCTACCAAGTTTATTTAAATTACTGCTATTGATTTGCAGGTGATGAAAGGTTTATTTGACGTCCAATTTTGAGCCTGGGAATTAATAGGTATCTAATTTAAGATTTTAAAAGGAACTTGGTAAACATGTCTAATTTAAGAAATTATTGATGTATGAAACTTGTGACGGATGCTGAACGCACAAATGTGTTGTTCTTTTATACTTTTAGAATATAGACGAGAGGGCATCGCGTTATGTGCGGCTATCCCAGCGGTATTACTTTATATAGATGTAAATAACAGTTAGATGAATAAGTGTGAATAGTTATGTTTTACAATATAAACATGTCTCTGTCCTTGGCTGTTTTATTTATTAATCATTGCCTTCAAAATTATTCTGTTACTGCAATAGTAAGCGATAGTTAATTATATTATTTTTATCAAACGAAGTAGGTATTATATACATGCAGAAGTAATAAAATATTCGTAAAAAAATATGTTAAAATTTACAATTGGGCATTCAATGTTCGTCTCAACCAAGCAGCTTTGTTTAGTATTATTACGCATAATTTTTATGAATAATGTGAGCCGCGTATGGATAGTGTTGGAGACACTTAATGATACCAAAACAAGGGATGTTGGTGTCATGTGAGTCTGTATTGGGCGTCGCGTCGTGAGTAACCAGAGAGTCCTGATTCCAGGTCCATTCATTTCCTGCTCTCAGTCTCAGCATATGCAAATCTTGCTGGACATTGTGACACCAGTAATTGCTTTTTTATTAAAAAGTCTCCCAAGTACATCACCGGCCAATTTTGGATGTGTAACGTCTTTCCTCTCGCTTTCCTACAATTTGTGGGAGTGATTTCGTGAAATGAGACGGAAGTGTGTAACAGGAAGTCGCGAAAGCGCGCGCTATCTGATTGTTTTTAGAACATAATGTACAAATGGCGTATTCCTTTTGTAGTAGGCTTTATTTGTTTTTTCTATTTTTGCTAAGGTGAGGTTTTCAAATGTTACACACATCATACGCGACTACTGTAAGGCTCGCTCGTTTTTTTTTCCAACACACCCTTTAGTCTAGCCCCAAAGTAAGCACTATAAGCTTCTGTTGTGGGTAACTAGGGTAACAGATAGAATACATATATTTATGTAGAAATATATATGAAACATCCATGACTGGAGTACAAATGCTAGTATTCATCACACAAACATCTACTCCCACCGGGATTCGAACCCGGGACCTCGCGAGTGTTTCATCTGAATTTGTATGAGCAACAATTAAGTCTGAATTTGTATGAGCAACAATTAAGGAGTGACTCGCTAAGATTTGTATGAGCAACAATTAAGGAGTGACTCGCTAAGACACTACATTTTTATTATAAGCGTTGCTCACGCTGCACGATTGATTTTGTAAAAAAACTTGCATAATTAGATTAGAAAGAGCGATGGTTATGTTATTCAACAGAAAGCAATTTTAATCTAAAGAATAAAAATTACTAGAAATGATTCCACGCGGACAGGCAGCAGACGCCTTAAATCTCTATTATTTCATAAATTCTAATCTATATTAAACTTGAATATATTTTCAATATAAAAAGAATAGCATTTACGAGTATATGGCCCACCCTGGAGTAAGTGCTTATAATTGTCGAAAGTTTCAAAATGCCATAAGTTTCATTCATTGGTATCCTTACCCTACGTCTGTAACGAACGACATGCTTTAAAATGGCTTTTGCCTTTCTTGCCCCTTACAGCTTTTGCAGCCATAGCCAAGAGCCCTCTATAAGTAGTACCTGCTAGACGGATTGTGATAAGGTTTCCAACTATACTTACTTTTACTTAGTAAGATATAAATAACTTAATTGTCATAGTCGGTTGGCATCGCTTATTGCGTCGCTGTTTGTGACCCTTGCGACCTGAGTAGTCTCGTGCTCGCTCTGAAGATAAGGCACCACATGATCGAAGTGAAACTCTGTAATTGCAAACATTACAAGAATTGCTTGCATGACAATAAACAATGAAGTTCATCTGTTAGCAATCTGAAGTGTCAGCTAAGCTGGTAATATATGCCATAGAACAAAATGCCAACAATGGCAGACGGGTTTTGCAATGGAGATTTGCGAATTGACAAGTGTTTAAGGCGGTTCGTTAGCCAGTAGTAAATGCACAAAACGATACACGCGTGCAGTATTTGGCGATGATGTATTGTATTGTGTCATTATTTGTGTCGTAGTTACAGTTTTGTGTTGAGGCGTGTACGTTAATAAACTGCGTTTGTTTGCACATCCTCCCTCCACGCCCGCAAAAAAATGACAGAATGATTTGAGAAGTACTATGGCGCTATATATAGCTACTCCCTTCCGTGTTGCTTGCTCTATGTAAGACTAGGGTTGCCAGATGCTGGCTTAACAATTCCGGGACATATGCACCCCCCTCCCCCCAGAAATAAAACAATACTTCAAAATCACAGCCCAATCCCAAATAGTACATACATCCCTGAGCGCAGGTATATTTATAGTAATATTGTGAAAAAAAATCTGGTATTGGGGATTCCGGGACAATAAGGTCTTAATACTGGACACGGGCCAAGACGCAAAACACCGGGACAATCCCGGATATCCCGGTCATCTGGCAAGCCTATGTAACACCCATGTCAGCAGTGAACAGACTCAGGCTGGTGATGACGAGTCAAAAAGTGTCGTAGTAAAACTGGTCTCGATGAATACCCCAGCATCTCACTTCTATGAGCATTGCCAGATTAACCCACTTCTTCCTCGTGGTCAAACTTGCAGTTGAACTACTTATCTAAAGTTCGATTTATGAAACTGGGCGTTGATGTTTAGCTATATTTAAATAGACGGATTTTAGATTTCAGTTAGTTTGACCACAAGGAAGAAGCGGTTATAATTACCATAAGCTGTCTTAGGTACAGAACTATTTTCTGACATTCTTGAGAAACCGGAATTCCATGGTGCGAGTATGTAAGGACACTTTATTTTTAGAACATTTCTGTCTTGGTAGCTTGATTTGTTGCTAAATGTTTGTTTTAAAGAGTTTGTTTGGATTAGGAGGCAACTGACCTCTAGTCCGCGGCCCTCATTACACGGAGAAGGAACACTAGTGGAAAAGTCGGCCGAATGCGTGGGCCAGAATACCATGATAAAAAACATCGTAATCGATCCTATCGAAAATAAGGTACGAAATATAAAAATATACTTATACAAACTTTTTTTATTTATACGTATGTTCCATAGATAAATGATTGGTCCGAATCAAAAGACCAATTATTCATCTATGAGTATGTTCGTACTATATGATTACTGTTTTAAGCAGTCATTGGTGTCGATTCTGGCGTGATAAACTTAATTTAACATCAGACTCTCCTTTTCATTCTGTATAGAGAATGACAAGGATGCACTGTTATCAAATTTATATTTAGCTTTAGAGAATCATGCCAGAATCGACATCACTATTATTATTTTAAAGAGTATCATGAAAAATTTAATATAAAACCACTATAGAAAAAAATACAACCTTTATATCCTTTAATAACTTGTCGTTTAATCGAATTATGTACTTCAGTATTTCATATAGTTTTAAAGTGGGCCGCGAACCAGAGGCCAGTTTCCTCCTAAGCCGTTAGCTTATGATAGTCACTAAACAGAATTAAATAAAATAAAGGTCGAGTGAAACCTTCCTCAAACAAAACAAGTCACTTGGGGCATTAAAATAAATCAAAAAATTAAAACTAGAAATATCTTTATTATCTTATAAAATACACTTACTTAAAATTAAGCTATTATCACACGACTTTAAAAACAGTGTTGAGCTGACATACTAGCTTCATATAAAAATTATACAGTACACAGCTATAGATCGATACAGTGACGGAATGTGTAATAATTATTGATTTAAAATGACAGGTTATTATTCATTTAATTACTCAATTTACAAATCATTTATTATGGCATCGAAGATTGACATAGGATGCGAGCAATGCCACTGTATCGAAAAGATCATTAAATGTATAATACCAAATAATAAGATAAGGTGTCGCGACTCATAAACGTTAATTTCGCGTTCATCATAAGATCTCAAAAATATACTCCGCAAATTGTTTCTTTATAGCGTTAAAACAATAATAGCATTCAAATGTCTACTCTTTATGGCAAAAACATTTGATAACTAAAAAGTTGCAAATCAACTACTAGGTTTGATAAAAATAAAAATCATTTTTCATGAGAATCTAATGGCGTTACAAAAAGACCATCTACCCGCCAAAAATAATCATTTCACTTGGCCGACTTCCCTGATCAGTCTGACTTTTTCATTCCTTGTAGAGAGAGCATGATGAAGACAGGCCGATGTCAAGTTTACGAATAGCCAAGCGAAGTGGCGGCATTGTCTGTCATAGTTTTGCGGGTAATTGACGAGTGGGTAGTCAGACGACCAGGTTTTGCCGGTAGTTGACTAAGGCTCGTATTACAGAATAACAACAAGGCGTTGATCTTTACAGAATACAGTTAGAAAGGGATGTCGCTATGTGCTATGAATGAAAATGAAAAGTCATTTATTCAGTCTAGGCTGTTACAAGCACTTATGAAGGTCAAGAAGCTACGCCATCGGTTCGCAAAACTATACATCGCGACATCCCTTTCTAACTGTACTCAAGTGAAGATACTTAATTGACATTCTGTAATACGGAGCCTAAGAAAAGCGGGGTATTTATATTAAATTATTGCTTTAATTGACACGCGGGTAGTTAGATACTGGGATGGGGTAATTATTGGTTTAATTGAGACGCGGGTAGTTAGAGGCTGGGATGGGGTAATTATTGGTTTAATTGAGACGCGGGTAGTTAGAGGCTTGGATGGGGTAATTATTGGTTTAATTGAGACGCGGGTAGTTAGAGGCTGGGATGGGGTAATTATTGGTTTAATTGAGACGCGGGTAGTTAGAGGCTGGGATGGGGTAATTATTGGTTTAATTGAGACGCGGGTAGTTAGAGGCTGGGATGGGGTAATTATTGGTTTAATTGAGACGCGGGTAGTTAGAGGCTTGGATGGGGTAATTATTGGTTTAATTGAGACGCGGGTAGTTAGAGGCTGGGATGGGGTAATTATTGGTTTAATTGAGACGCGGGTAGTTAGAGGCTGGGATGGGGTAATTATTGGTTTAATTGAGACGCGGGTAGTTAGAGGCTGGGATGGGGTAATTATTGGTTTAATTGAGACGCGGGTAGTTAGAGGCTGGGATGGGGTAATTATTGGTTTAATTGAGACGCGGGTAGTTAGAGGCTGGGATGGGGTAATTATTGGTTTAATTGAGACGCGGGTAGTTAGAGGCTGGGATGGGGTAATTATTGGTTTAATTGAGACGCGGGTAGTTAGAGGCTGGGATGGGGTAATTATTGGTTTAATTGAGACGCGGGTAGTTAGAGGCTGGGATGTTTTAGTTTAAACGAGCGGGTAGGAGGCGGCGGAGGCGATGCCGCAGTGGTTGTTGCGGTTGCGCGCCATCTTGATGTATCCGAGGTCGCCCCAGGTGCGGCCCCACGAGTTCTTCACCAGCCAGTAGTCGCCACCGGTCTCGTCGGTGCCGTAGCCGACCACGAGGACCTGTCACGTAACGCCGTAAACATTAACGTCACATAGTCAAAGGGTGAAATATACACCGGCACGCTGGCCAGCGGTAATGACGTCATGAATCGACGACATGCTGTTGATTCGTTCTGAATACTCTGATCAGCGCGGTGACGTCATGAACTGGCGCTATATTCAAGCAGTCTCGTGTTTGTGTGCAACGTTCATGCTCCAAAAAATATAATAAATTTTAACCTACAATTTTAACTTTGATTATTTGAAAAGAATGGAAGTGATAGCTATTACGAAAATATCTCGTTTTGTTGTTGAAACACAATTCGACTCGACAAATATTGATTTAAATACTATACTATTGTAACTAAGCGAGTAATTGTACCATATTGTGACTAAAAAGTCCGAACTGTTTTCGAAATGTCAGGACTTTTGAAATTCCTAAATGGTAACCTCACTATTGCATCCATAGGGATAGCCTGTGCCCCAGCAGTGGGGACATTACTAGGCTAATGATGATGAAGTAAAGTTTTGTGTTATAAGAGTAGAAGAATATCGTTTATAAGTAAAGTGAGTCGTTATATCAAGCAAAATTAAACTATGTAATTCATTTGGGGATATATCCAACAGCTTGCTGTTCACTCAATATATTAAAATACATATTACCTCTATTGTACCACCAGACCTATTGCGGTCTGCAGTTAAAAGATTTAGAAATGTACTTTTTGGACATAAAAGCTTCAATATATTGTTTTAAACTGTCAGCATTACAAACATTATAGTAATATAAGTTATTTACTATGTACCTTGTTTTTAGCGAGTTTCCTATATTTCGGCACTGTTGCAAGCGCCATGATCACCGAGTAACTCACTCCTCCTTTACAATCCCGTAAATAACTTATATTACTATAATAAAAGCTTGAATAACAATCAAAGTACTAATATTCATTATCATCATCATCAGCCTATTAATGTCCCCACTGCTGGGGCACAGGCCTTCCCTATGGATGGAATAGGGAGATTGGGCCATGACCCACCACGCGGGCCCAGTGCGGGTTGGTGGGTTGCTAACGACTGCTACTGGTAATAATATTAATAATCCTAAATTATTAATTCGGTTTTTTTTATTGTATTGATGATTATTTATTAATATCACGCAATAGATAAGGCAGATGTAGGAAGAGGACACAGAACATATGCGGTGTCTAAGGGGCGTATGAAGTTCCGCGTTTGTGTTCAATGACCCCGCGCCGACTCCGACGCTCGTGACCGCACAGTCAATGTCCCTCGGCGCGTCCCATTGTTACAATTGTTTTTGCGGAAGACATTCTTCTCGAAAATATACCTAAGTGCTACTGTGAAGTCTAATTCACTGGTACAATTATTTTTATTTTTGTGTTACACATGAAAAATTAAATATGAAAAAAAGATGTTTACTTAGAGTTATGGTCTCATTCAAAATCTGTTAATGTTGTATGCGTAAATTCTTATCTTTTTTTATTTACTTATAATTGCCATTACAGGTGTAGCCCAGTTTAATGTCACCTGCAGGCCAATTATGCTCGCTAATTGTGATATTTTGATGTCAATTTCACATTACGTATTATGCTCTCCGAAAAATGCGATATCAAAATGACATCAACTAGACATCAACTTATGCGTATTATAATCAACTCTTTAAAATGATATCAACTTAAATGCGTATTACGTTCAAATTTTTGACTTAAAATAGTATCGCATTAACGTCAAAAATGTGATACAGGATATGATATTGACATGATCTTGATGTGACATGGGCATGTTTCATAATACCATTTAATAACAATGTCAACTTGGCATCAACATCATATTGACATCACATTAGGATTATGTCACTAAAGCATAATTGACCCGCTGTAGTACTTTGTGTGTGTGTTAGTTTTAATTTAACACATTAACTTTTTGCACTCCTTTTAGTTCAAAGTTAGGGTAACTTTAATTGTACCAAACTATCACGCCCTCGTGGGTAAATAAAAATGGGTAGTTTCTCATTTACGCATAAATATAAATCATTAATTATATACATTGCATACTTTGTATGTGCTAACTTAATAATATTTCCAACACTCACACCAATTAGCCTAGCCGCAAAGTAAGCACTGTAGGCTTGTGTTATGGGATACTAGGGTAACGGATAAAATACATATACTGTACATATATAAGTATATTTATATAGAAATACATATTAAACATTCATGATTGGAGTACAAATGCTCGTATTCATAACACAAACATCTGCCCCCACCGGGATTCGAACCCGGGACCTCTAAAGCGACACCATGAAACCCCGCATGCAAAACCCTCGACCACGGAGGTCGTCAAATAAGTATGAATCCTAAATCCATAAGAATAAATTCAATTCCTTGCCGAGTTGGGATGCTTGAACAACGAAAATACAAATATTTACTAAGAGAGATTCATGGGCCCAATGGCAATTATCTACTCCTGTTACCACAATACGCATAATATTTCTACTATCTGTCAATGTTGGGGCACAGGCCGTCCCTAGGGATGGAATATTGAGCCATAACATGACCCACCAGGTGAGCCCAGTGCGTCTAGGTGGGTGCTGACGACTGCAAATGCAGCCGGGACCAACGGCTTAACGTGCCTTCCAGAGCACGGTCCCCCGTCATAGTAAGTTTTTGGTCACCCATCCAATGACCGACCACTGCGAAAGTAGCTTGACTTCAACGATCGCAGGCGAAGGCGCTAACCACTTATGCCATCGGGCTCCTCTAGTTTCTATTATAGTGCCTGGATATTCCTTAAAGCCTCGTATAAGGTCAACTACGTATGCACTACGCATTAAACTTCGCATGAGCGATGTAGGCCGCGTGACGTAACTTGACCTCGGGGCAGAACGCGCGCTGATCCTATTAAGACGGCGCGAATATCAAGTAACTAACGCCGATGTGATGCTATTATTAATGAGGATACGTAACGATTTGAGTTGAGAAAGCAGATTTATACATCTAAAGAAAATTATAACTAGAAAAGATTCCACGCGGACCCGGCAGCAGACGGGACTCGAACCCGCACCCTTCGCTATCCGGGCGAATGCACTGACCAATTATGCTACCGCGGCCCTCATGGACCGCGTCGAAATTCCTCCAGCCATTCTTAAGCTGCAAGGCAGCGCCATCTCTTCGCATAATAGGTAACCCCCACAATGTCAAATGAATACTTTTATAATATGTTGTAGTTATAATTTCGGGTTCGAGTCCCGTCTGCAGCCTGGTCCGCGTGGAAGTTTTTCTAGTTATATTTTCTTTAGATTTAAACATCAAGCAGTTACATGCTTTAAAAAAAAATTATAACAGATTCATAGAGCTAAGGATTCCATAAAATACAATGGTTAAATTTTAGTTCTACGGCAAATATTGACGAAGTTATGACCAAATTACTAAACGAACTGTCAGCTGGCCGCGTGGTGGCTGTGACGTCACAAAGCTCTAGCGCTCGGGCGCGAGCGTGCGTAGAGACGCTACTGAAGTTCGACAGGAGTAAACCACGGTCGAGCTCTGTGACGTCACACGTTTCGGCCGCCGGTGAATATTGGCTACCATAAATTTAGTTATAAAATCGCAACGAATGAACCGATTTCAATGATTTAAAAAGTATATTAATTAAAAATCTTATTAGATCATTATACTGCTGACCTATTAATGATCCTCTTATTACTTTTTATTAGAATGCGATTTTAGTAATTATTATTTAAGTTTAGCCTTAGAAAGCAATTAGCTAAAATGATACTTAATCAGGTTAAATAAAAAAATAAAAATGAATAGCTGAAATGTATTATTGTACGCGCATAACTTCCGAGATATTGCATTAAATTCGGCAAGTCTTTCTGACGTGACAATGTCTTATAAATCGATGAGCACGCACGAAAGTGACTTCATGTCACGTTGTCACGAGTTAGTTCAACGTGCCGCGGTGTTTGTGAAGTGAGGTCGATTCTAATTATGAAGATGATGCAGGGATCATACAAGCTAACATTTTGTTTATTGTTTAAATCCAACAACGTCAACACAATATGATCACCAAACTTGGCCAACCAAAACATAACCCCGTTCTTATAGATTACGAAGACGTGACTATTTGTATAACAATAAATGTACCGTTATCTTCTCTTTGTTATTAATAACGACTAGTCAATCATTCATTAAAATTCGTTTAAATCATAGTTATAGTTTATAAATGCTGTACTTATATGTAATGTTATTAACAATATTATGATTAAAAAAACTGATCCTTTGTTTACAATACATACACAATAACACATTTAATTAAACAAATAAAATTTAAAGTTGTTATTCAGACTACATTTGTGTCATTCTGCTTATGTAGGATACACAAGCAGAATGACGCAAATGTAGGTACCCTAAAACTTCATTTTAACTTTAAATTCAAAGAAGATTTTACTAGAAATAATTTCCGCGGACCACGCAGCAGACGGGACTCGATCCCGCACCCTCCGCTATCCTGGCGGATGCACCGATTGAGGTTCGAGTCCCGTCTGCTGCCTGGTCCGCGTGGAATTATATTCAAGTGATTTACTTTAGGCACGCTTGACTTGGGGGGTAAACTGGCAAATGTGTGACGATTTTTGCGTTACGCAATGAACAATAAACAATACCCGTCACAAAATACATGAATCTAGTGCTTGGTGGCCGATAACGGACCCAGCGCGGATTAGTGGTTTTTTTTCTATCAACAAATCTTCAGGTTAAGTTTATGATTTTCAGATCATTGGAGCTAAAGAAGTTTCACTTCAGTCGTGTGGTCATAAGCACACCCGCTTTTTTCTTTCTAGTAGTAGACTGTTGAGAAGTCAACATGCCTCTCCGTGAAAAAATGCGAAAAAAATACTTATAGTACGTAGACTGTCGGTTTTTCGACAGGTATCTAATCAATGTTTGTTAATTTAACGCATATTTTCTTCTTATATTTACTATAAACTGATTTAATAGAAAATAAAAAATAGCTGTCTCTTTTCCTCGCGGTTCGTACATGCTATATTACTAACAGCGCATTTAGAATTGCGCGTAGAGTCAAAGAAGTAAGGTCTATATTGATCCGCATATAGCAATAAGCAATAAGTCTTAAAATTTTACTTTAATATTATAGTTATGATTTTATTTATTTTTTAAGCATTTAACTGCTAGATGTTTAAATCTAAAGAAAAGTTTACCAGAAAAAAATCCACGCGGACCAGGCAGCGGACGGGATATTGTGGGTTACCTACAATGCGAAGAGATGGCGCTGCCTTGCAGCTTAAGGCTAGGGAAATTTCGCCGCGGCTAATAGGGCCTTGGTAGCATAATGGTCAGTGCATTCGCCCGGATAGCGAAGGATGCGGGTTCGAGTCCCGTCCGCTGCCTGGTCCGCGTGGATATTTTTCTAGTAAACTTTTCTTTAATATTATAGTTTGCATTTCCAACTGTCATAACTCAGACGCATGCGTTTTATTTCAGAACTTGTACAGTATGCATTAAAGGTGATTTTCAACGTTTAAATAAGGCCTTATATTGTTTTTGAGTACGAGATCATCTCACGGAGCTCCGTGGATCGTCGAATGTACCTTTTGGACAGGTTTTGGGGCACAATTTTGTTCGTGTTATTGTATGTAGGGTTTTTAATATCGTCGGTCGCCACTTACCCCGTGGTCCAGGTTATCGGAGGAGCAATTCTCGTCGTAGTAGACGCCGGTGTTGTAGAACTGGAAGGATTCCTGCGAAGCGTCGATGGCTACAGACACAGGCCCGACGCTGGCGACGGCTTCCATCAACTTCTGTTCGTCGCCGGCCGGAATGTCAGCGAATCCGACGTCGTCGGCGCCATTGTTGCCCGGGTTGTATCTAACGGGACATTCACCTTTAAACTATACTTCTATTCAACTTCCTTTCAAGACAAAAAGTGAACAAATAAATCAAGTTTTGAAATAAATGAAGCAAGTCTTGAACGGGTATAAAAATTTGCAGCGGCACTTTACTTGGCTATATTCGTTTTTGCTATTTGTAGACTTGACAACAGACTGTCCTTTTCATGTTTTATAGTTAATAAAGAGGACAGATTGATGTAAAGTTTAAAGTTTTAGATGCAATCACTAATAGCCAATGAGGTGGCGGCATGATGAAATGTCTCTCCCACAACATACCTGCACTTAAGAAAATGTACAATGGGCAAGAGATGGCGTTGCCTTGCAGCCTAAGAAATACTGGTAGAAATTAAACACGGCCATTAAGGTCGCGGTAACATAATCCGTAAAGTGCATCCGCCCGGATAGCCGAGGGTGAAGATTAATAAACCGCGTGGAAGTTTTTCTAGTCTTTTTTTGATGTGCAAAATCTTCGCTTCTCTCGCTTTCGTGCAATTTGTGGGAGTGCTTACGTGAAGTGGGACGGAAGTGTGTAACAGGAAGTTTGGGAAGCGCGCTCTATTTGATTTGATTCTAGAACATAATGTTCAAATGGCTTATTCCTTTTGTAGTAGGTTTTATTTCTTTTTTTACTAATATAAGGTGAGGTTTCAAATGTTACACATCATACGCGACTACTGTAAGGCTCGTTCGTTTTTTTGGAGTTTACTCCTTAAGAATCGATTTGCATATATAAGGGGCCCGGTATGAGAAAAATGTGAGGAGTGAAATCTATCGATGAATGACCTCGTTACGTTTTTACTGTCTACGCTGTAGCAGCCGTAGTGCTACACCGTAGCACAGTATCGTAGCGTACCTTTATTTATGCACATCTGAAATTGACTATTGTAAAAAGTTTAATGTAAATTATTTCATCGATTAGTTATAATAAATGTATATGAAATGAATAAATATATATTTATATATGTATATTATTTTCATTAATTTGTTAATTTACCCTTTCATACAGTATCAATATTTTTTAAGTTAAATAAACTCTTTTTGCGTCTAGTTAGACTATCGAACTTAAGGAGTAAACTCCAGTCGTGCGTCGGAGCTGACACACACATTTTTTTTTATACCTGCACTTGTCATCGACGCCCTCATAAGGGTAGGTCTTCTCTGTGTCGATGCCGTGGTTGTCCCGGATGTACTTGAAGGCGTTGTCCATGAGTCCCCCGTTGCATCCGTTGTTGCCGTACGCGCTCGAGCAGTCGATCAGATTCTGCTCCGACAGCGATACCAATACGCCGCTCTTGCGGAAATGTTGACCCTCCAGAGCGCCAGTCTGTGCAAATAAATAAATAATAATAATGATTTGACTGCTAGATGTTTAAATCCAAAGAAAAGTTTTTACGAGAAAAAAAAATTTTTTTTTCTAGTAAAAACTTTTCTTTAGATATAAATATATAGTTACAATATTTTTTTTATTTAGTAAAAGTTTGTCTTATACAATACTTGGGTAGCAGATAAATAACTTCCTGAACCATAAATTAAATGAAATTATATTTTATTCAAATTAAATAAATAAATATTTCCAACACTCACACCAATTAGCCTAGCCCCAAAGTAAGCACTGTAAAGGCTTGTGTTATGGGATGCTAGGGTAACGGATAGAATACATATATTGTACATATATAAGTATATTTATATGAAATACATATTAAACATCCATGACTGGAGTACAAATGCTCGTATTCATCACACAAACATCTGCCACCACCAAGATTCGAACCCGGGACCTCTCGAGTCGGCGACGCCATGAAACCCGGCGTATAAACCACTCGGCCACGGAGGTCGTCAGGCTTGGCGTCAAATTGGATTATTGAATGCTCTTTTGAATCGTCCAATATTTTTTTTTCTCTATCACCCATTAGGACATCTTTGAGCTGACGAGAAGAAGAGCGCAAGAAACTCGAAACAGAAGTAGCAACATTTACAAAAAAAAACATGTCGCTACCAATACAAAGTCCATTCACATTTTGATTGCATCACACTGATATTATAAAGGCGAAAGTTTGTGAGTGTGTATGTTTGTTACTTCTTCGCGTCTAAACGGCTGGAGCAATTTTAATAAAATTTGGTATGAAGTTAGCTGACACCCTGGATTAACACATAGGCTACGTTTTACTACGAGAAAAAATCCGTAATAAACCGCGGGTAACACCGCGGGGCACAGCTAGTACAGTATAAATACAAACAGTGTTCTATGAGGTATTAATCTTTCAATATTACGTATAAATAAATAAATATTTCCAACACACACCAATTAGTCTAGCCCCAAAGTAAGCACTATAAGGCTTGTGTTTTGGGATACTAGGGTAACGGATAGAATTCATATACTGCACATATATATATATATATATATATATAAGTATATTTATATAGAAATACATGTTACATCCATGACTGGAGTACAAATGCTCATATTCATCACACAAACATCTGCCCCCACCGGGATTCGAGCCCGGGACCTCTCGAGTCGGTGACGCCATGAAACCCGGCGTACAAACCACTCGGCCACGGATGTCGTCAAATAACATCTCACCTCGCGCGAATGTCGATGATGAAGTTTAACATTTTTTAATTAAAAATCTAATACCTACATTGATTTTCTGTTAATAGGCAATCAAAATAAATTAGTAGTCACGCGCATAAAGCCAATTGGAAAGTTTCATCACATTGCGATATCGAAGAAAGAAAATAATGTCATTAAAGAAACTAGTTTTAAACCATTTAAGGTGGTGTAGCTATATCGGCAGACTGCTATCATACTATTTATGTATGTGTACTTACAAACATACCTACAATAATTACACTAATAAACTAATTAACTCATAATGACAACATATATGATTATTGCATATTATTGAAACTGGGAAGTGCACCATATTATATATAAATAGGTATTTGTCAAATAACAAGGAAAGGAATAAGAATTTTGTTGTGATAACATTGGTATTGCTGTGGAGTTTTGGGTATTTGGTGTTATCTCCGATGTTATCGTAGGTCATGGACGCGGCCGGACGATAGCACTCTTCGTCAAACAAAATAATTGTTACGTTGCGTTTTCTTTGTTCGCATCAATACCTACGTCGTTAGTTTCATAATGACCAGCTGTTTAGATATACACGCATACTTGGCATATTCCATCACCATCATCAGCCTATTAATGCCCCCAATGCTGGGGCACAGGCCTTCCCTATAGATGGAATAGGGAGATTGGGCCATGACCCACCACGTGGGCCCCGTGCGGATTGGCGGGTGCTAACGACTGCAGACCGGGGCCCACGGCTTAACGTGCCTTCCGAAGCACGGAGGAGCTCGAGATAGTAAATTTTTAGTCACCCATCCAATGACCGACCACTGTGAAAGTTACTTAACTTCAACGATCGCAGCCGAACGCGGTGACCACTTGCGCCATTAACATATTTGCAAAAATCTAATAAATACTGGAATATTATTCAAAAGATATATTGAAACTCTTTTCGAGTACATTTGACTGTCATATAATAATGTATGAACCATGCAGTTATGATTCAGGTAGTGACTTCATAAAAGTTGTTATTGGTGTCGATTCTAGCATGATTCTCTAAACCTAAACTTAAATTTGACAGCAGTATATCCTTGTCATTCTCTATACAGAATGAAAAGGAGAGACTGATGTTAAATTTAGTTTTAAGTTTAGAGAATCAGGCCAGAATTGGCACCATTATATGTATATATTGGTATCAATTCTGACATGATTCTCTAAACCTAAACTTAAATTTGACAACAGTGTATCCTTGTTATTCTCTATACAGAATGAAAAGGAGAGACTGATGTTAAATTTAGATTTAAGTTTAGAGAATCACGCCAGAATTGGCACCATTATAGACATTAACTTCAACAATGATTATATTATAGTCAATGGAAATTAATATTTGAAATCTTAATTTGGTATATTATAACAAATTTTGAACTTTTTATTTTAAATCTGTCGACTGAAACTATGATTGAATTTAAATTTATTATCTTTAATTGATTGCTTTAAATTTAACATGTTTTAATTGAGTTGGTCTACTGTAATTGAATCTTAAGATGTGTTTAAATTTGTTATTATTTATTATAATTATTCCTAGTTATTATTACTTTTGCCATTGTCATGCTATGATCTTTGTGTTTGAAAATATTAAAATTATAATAAACATAAGTATTATTATTACAATAATTCTAAAACTTTATTACGCGAGTCACATTTAAATCTACACGGTAATAAGTAATAGCTTTTTGCCACTATGTCAAATATAAAGATTGCCTTTAATATATTGTAATAAATGTTTTCATTTCATAAGAAAAGGATGAGTCACAACAAAATTCATTTATAATAACATAAATGACACAGTCTCATTATACCTCCGATTACAAACATTGTATGTAGGTACAGAGTACGTGTGAATCACCGGTCGCCGGTCGGTAACAAGTTTACAACAGATGCAATGGCTTCCATTGTGGCAGTTGTAAACTGTGAACGAATGATTAATAAAGAGGCCGCAGTTAGAACAACACACGCTTCTAGTCCACCTTTATACGGAAATCGATGAATAGTTAAATTAGGATTCTACTTAATCACAAACAACAACACGGTTTACGATTGTAACGCTTAATAAACTTACTAAATAAATATAGACGTTTCTTTCCACTTTATATAGGTAACTAACCAACATTTAAAATCTTGTATTTCCTCATTATATATATCTCTTATCTATTAGACAAGTCCGTCTGTCTGTGGTGCTGTTTCAGCGGCCAAACCATAAGAGATAGATAAAGAGAATATTTAAGTTATAAGTTAAGAATAGTCTGATAAGACTAGAAACCGGATTTGAGTAACGTAGCACTTCCGGTTTTCGAGAAATCAGGTTTTGGTGAACATTTGGTTCACTGGTTTGCTAGTATATATATATATATATATATATATATATATATATATATATATATGTAAGTACATATGTAGCTAGCGGGTAAATTTATATGTTTACCCTTTATTTAGTCTAACCTTTAACACGCCCTAAGTTGTAACTTTCTAGAAAATGTGGTAATTTCATTCTAGTTTATAATAACATCAAGGAGCAAAACCTGTTTTTTTTCACCGTTTTAAAAAACACAAAAAATTTGGACTACTGTCTTTTTTTCTATACATACGAATATACAACAATTTACCGCCTTATCTGCGGTCACTTCCTGATTATAAATTTGTAAGGTCCCTGAAGCAATGGCTATTATATAATGCATTTTAAAATCTAAATGAATATTTTAATAATAATGTTTTGTAAAATTATAAAAAAAAAAATATAAAAAACTATTTATTGCATGCCCGATTAGGGTAACTGTTTATTACAATTATGTGCACTAACATCTAGCAGTATCACTAAATGTAACAGTTTTGCAATAAAGAATTATTCTATCCTATTCTAAATTGGGTGTTTTTTCAAGAAAACAATGTTTGAAAAAATGGTTGGTAATTTTGAACAAAAAATCTGTAGTAGGTTTTAAATTAAACAGAAAACTAAAAATTAACTCACAAGCATTATTCAATCTATAACGGAAACTTTCTTAATAATTTTAAATTCTGTACAACAACAACTTCTGTGAAAAAAGCAAGATTTTTCCCTAAGATAGAAAAAAACTGTTGGTATTGCATTTCCAGTTATGCTACGCGAATATTCACTAAAAAGTTTAAGCGAATATTCACTAAAAAGTGACGTCACGAGCCCCTACTCCCAAACTTTGACGCGCTATAACTTTGTCATTTTTTGGTTGATTGCCCAAAGAAAAAATATGTGTCCATTATTTTTTGATCATCTAACTGACGGACTAAATAGAATTTCGTTTACTGTACCCCGTCATCACCCCTATTGTGTGTGTAATGTAACGGGGGGTAGTTTAGTGTACTGTGTGGGTAATGTAGTGCAGCGATGGTACAGTGTGGGTCACTGTTCACTCACCGAGCTGAAGGACCAGCAGGAGCCGCACTTGCCCTGGTCCTTGATCTCGGTGACGGCGCCCTGAGTGCGCCAGTCCACCTGCTGCGGGACCTGCAGGTGCGCCGGCGCGATGAAAGTGGCCCCGCGAGACTCGCGACCCTTGTACAACCCCTTGTTGTGCCTGATAGGACCACACTCACCTTTAGTTACGACTGTTTTACCGATTAGACATAGAAACGGAACAAATTGAGGGGCTCGCAGGTGGATAGCGTGTTCGACCTGAGATTGCAGAAGTTAAACCATGTCCAAAAAGTTATTTTCTGGAGCTTCTTCGTGCTTCGGAAGGCATGTTAAGCCGTTGGTCCCGCAGCCGCAGTCGTTAGGACCAAACAATTCGTACTGGGTTTGCGTGGTGGCTCATGGTCTAATCTCTCTATTAAATGAATAGGGAAGGTCTGTACATCAGCAGTGGGGATATTAATAGGTTGGTGATGATGATGAGACATAGAACATGGACTGCGTGACACACGCAAGAAATTTCTAAATATTTAAAATAGTTACATCACATAGCTAAATACTTTTGTAACCATAAAATAATACTGTTCTTATAATATTTTTATTATGTGGGCTAGTACAATAGGTAATAAATAAAATAACAAAGAACTCTTATCATATTTGATTATTCCCATTATAATAACAGATGGCCGTATTAAATAAATGCGGGCGTTTACCGAGATAGGGGCGGTTGAAATCGGTTTAGTTTCATTAATGGATTCGTAATCGGCCGTGACTATATGCCACAGAATCAATGAAATTTAATATATAAAACTATAAAACATCATAGATATTAAGCAACATCACAGCGTGTGATTCGAATCTAATGCTGATAACAATTTAAATCGATTTGAATGGTGCTCACGTGAGACTTAAAAATAGGTACTTAATTAATCGCACAATAATGGTTATTTCATGCAGGGTTACTCTTTTGTTTAATAGTATTAATTAAGCTTTAATACAATATTGAGTTGGTGCAAAGCAACAGAAAGTTTATGAGATTGTAGATTGAAATATTGATTTTATTGTGAAAACTAATAAGATGAAGTTGATTAATAATGTTTTTGTTTTTAAATAAAACAGTTCTGCGGTCGCCTGCGGCTGGTGCGGTAAAAAACCGCTCCGTATGTTCTTAGCTTAGGCACGGTAATATTATCTATACAGTATTGTGACTGGGCCCTGTCCTTGAAATAACTGCCTACGGCCGAGCGGGGCGTATTCACGCGGTAGGGCTGACCGCCTACAGTATTTTAATTTCATCTACATAATTGAGTTTCTTTGTAGTTTTATGATTGTTAATGTTTTATTTCATATGTAAAAAAATGCTGTGAATGAATTAGGAAGTGTTACATGAAATACATGTAATTTTATGTGTAATATTTAATAAAAAAAAATATAGATTTGAGTTAGAAAAATATTTACGCCTCGACTGAGATGTACGAAAAGCTTTATTATTAAATTTAATAGTATAATAAATACGCAGTCGTATAAAAAGTTTAATTATTGAAGAGTTCAAGCAACCAAAAACAGCACAATATCGACTGTTGCTCTTTGCCATATTAAATTATGTAGGTATCTACTTGATTCAATCAAATATTCACAATACAAACGTTTAAGCATGGCCAACTGCTTAAAAAACAATTCACACCGTTCGGTCGTCGCCATAGAGTACATTATACATGATCGTCGCTGCGGCGCATTCGCGACTGGATGCCCACCGGGTGCCGCGCGAACTCGAGTGGCGTAGGTATGACACGCTTTCCGACCGTTTGTATGAAGATAGAATACTGTATAGATAATATTACCGTGGCTTAGGCTAAGCGCACTAGCTTACACGGTGAGTGTATTTGTGTGTGTGTGTGCCGGACTCACTTGGCGGTCCTGTTGAACCCGTTCATGATGTGCACGAACTCGTGGTGCAGCAGGTCGCCGTACTTGTTCTGCTGCAGCTTGTACGACACCTGGCCGCGCTGGTACAGCTGGTTGTGCTTGGCGATGCGGTGCTTGTTCTCCGCGTAGATCTTCATGCGGAACCGGTCCTCTATATCGCTGTCGTACTTCTTGTTGTGCTCCAACTGCACCGCAAACGATGAACTTTAAATATCACCCCCAATGTACTAAAAAGTAGCTTGATGGGGTAGATGGATAACGCGTTCAGACGATCGTAGAAGTTAAGCTACTTTCGCAATGGTCGGTCATAGGATGGGTGAACAAAAACTTTTTATCTCGAGCTCCTCCACGCTTCGGATGACACGTTAAGCCGTTGGCATCTGCAGTCGTCAGCACCCACCGATCTGCACTGGGCTTGCGTGGTGGGTAGCATTTCCCTATTCCATCGATAGGTAAGGCTTGTGCCCCAGCAATGGACATATTAATGGGCTGATTGTGAGAACAACAATCAGAGTCAAAACAGAAAATTTAGTTTTCCATATTAAGTGATCGAAGCGTGTTTATAAAGCGTGTCCTAGAACAGTTAAGATTTCCAATCCAACTACGACAGTGGGTCGTAAATACACGCTGTGGATTCCGAGGGCAAGTTTCCGCTAGCGATACCGGTTCTAGTTTCACATCTCGGTTGACCTAGTGTTCTATCTATGTACCTTAGGTACTTCTATTTATTCTGAGCTTTATCCATCCTCAATGGAAAATGAACAAACTTACTTTTTAAATCTAAAGAAAAGTTTACTAGAAAAAGTTTTTTTTTTGCGGATTGCGAAGGATGCTGGTTCGAGTCCCGTCTGCTGCCTGGTCCGCGTGGATTTTTTTTCTAGTAAACTTTTCTTTAGATTTAAACATCTAAAGAAATATCAGTTAAATGCTTAAAAAATAAATACAAACAAAACTTTCTATTTGTTCAACTTATAGAGTATGAATTCACACAACTTAATCTGTCTGACGATATTATCTATGGTGGTAATAGAAAGATTTTATAGTATCATAAATCATTAATTATCAGTAAGCAATTAGTTAAAATAGCTATTAAAGAAATATAATGCATTCCAAGCAATTTTATGGTGTTATTAAGTCGTGTCTGTCAGTCTGGGTTTAACACGAAAATAACTGATTAAAATATCGCGTTACGACAACCATTAATTAATTTCTATTTTTAATAATCCAAGTAATAAGTAAAAAATTTGACATCACAAAAAAAAAGGTTACGACTTATGTTGTTTTTTCAGTTATACAAGACTATGTTATTTGTAGCTATTCTTCAACTTTCGCAGTGGTCAGTTATTGGATGGGTGACCAAAAATCTTGTATCTGGAGTTCCTCAGTGCTTCGGAAGGCACGTTAAGCCGTTGGTCCCGGCATCTACAGTCGTTAGCACCCGCCAATCCGCACTGGACCCACGTGGAAGGCTTGTGCCCCAGCAGTGGGGACATTAATAGGCTGATGATGATGATAATGTTATTTGTACTGTGTTCCCATACTGGACTAGAAGTAAAGTAAAACATAGAGTAGAGCAACTGATGACTTTCCAGAGCTGATACTGACAATACTATATTTACTATGATGGTAACAACAAACAGTATTACTATAGTATAGCAATGAACTGATAAATGGTCATATAAAACTAGCCCAGTGATTGGTGCGGGATCACCATACTCCAGAGTGGCCGGACAATACTGTGCCCTTATATTCTGTGACAAAAGCAGAGCGGTATACGGTTCATAGTAGGTACATACCTTGTAAGCATTCCATTCTTCCTTAACGAGGTCGAAGAAGGAGACGGCTCCCACTGCTGCCAGTAGACTCAGCGTAACTATCACCCACTTCATTGCTGCGACCTAAGGCAATAATCATAAAATCACATCATTGATTAAAATTTAATTGAAATAAAATTTAGGGAAAGTATTATTATTAGCCCATGCTAAGTAATAAATTTTTTATGTGGGATTGCAACTAAAACAAGACAGTCATATATATGTGGCCAAAAAACTATAAATTTAAGTACTTATACAAAATTAAGTTTTAAATAGTTATCTACCTATTCATATTTATACTGTGCAGCTAGTCCTACCCCTCAAACAAGCACAGACAACACACAGAAAAAATTGCAAAGGTCATATTATATTTTTGTATGAAGAGTGGGCTATTGCAGTGAACAGAAGGAAATTATATTTTTAGTAAGTACAAAAAATATAAATTATTGAACTTTGTATATCTTTTAAATGCACCCTTTTATTTCACACAAATATATGGAAAAAAACCGATATTCTGATTTACTATTATTAATAAGAAAGATTTTTAATAATAAATCCTTTTGTGTTTATTTCATTGTTAAAAATAATAATATGCCCTGTAAATATAGTGCAAACATAAAACAACATAAAAAAAAATGTGACAAATGTATTTGTTAAATTAATGGTGCTTTTAATTTTTTTCTTGTTTTCATAGGACCATTAAAGACAACCTTCTCTGTCAGTAAAACCCAATGATGGTGATTGAAAAACAAATTGACCATTATACTGGGGCAGGGTGGGTACTCATTATCCAAAAACACATTGTGCAAGAGTATGCACACATAATCATACTAATATTTACCTTCCTCAAGGATATATTTGTTTCTTAGGTTTTCACGCACATCACTCATTAAATAAAACTAGTTTTTACGGGTTAATGCACGAAACTTTATTTATTTATTGACGTTTCGCAGCCTTTTCAGGTCTGCATCGTCAGAATAATGATTTTATTTAAAATTGTCGAGCTACCTTCGAAAGAATTATATTGTGCGTTCGGTTATTTCATTGGAAGATTTTTAAATTTTTTTTTTTTTTATTGTCTATGTATGAATTTATTATCTTATTAAGTGATCTTGCAGTGTGTGCACACACACTGCAAGACCATCAGATACTATTAGTTCTTTTTGTTTGCATAATTTAACATAAGAAGGAGATAGAAAGCCTCTCTTGAGTTTGTTTCGCCGGTTCTTCTCTGGAAGGTCTCCCAATTTTGGAACCGGTGGTAGTTTACGGTAGTTAGGGTCAAATAAATAAACTCAAAATTACAAACAAGAATTTTAAATAAAATACTTTATTAAGTAAATTAAATAATAAATTCATACATAGACAATAAAAAAAAATTTAAAAATCTTCCAATGAAATAACCGAACGCACAATATAATTCTTTCGAAGGTAGCTCGACAATTTTAAATAAAATCATTATTCTGACGATGCAGACCTGAAAAGGCTGCGAAACGTCAATAAATAAATAAAGTTTCGTGCATTAACCCGTAAAAACTAGTTTTATTCCTCAAGGATAATATAATTAACGAGATATAACGCGAGTACATAAACTAAAAGTGGCAAGCAAACAAGTTTTTGGACTGTACATAGAATAGCAAAAAATATGGACACATATACATGTAATATTAACGATTGCACATGTAGTAAAATACCTATAGTTTATAAAATTCAAGTTATGGATTTTTAATCAATAATGCATAGTGCAGTGGATAATTTAAAATTTTGTATCAAGTTGCGTCATCAATCATCGCGCGACGCGCACCCACCTCACACCACCTTGTAAAGAAACAACAGCGATTTTCTAAAGAAATAAATTGCTGGTCAAATAATTAAATTCATTCTGCTTCTTTTGTTTCAAATTTTAATATCAGATAATACGATAAAAGCAGCTGAACGTGTAGGTAGATGAAAATTAAAAATCTACTGTGTTTTAAGTATAATTTAAACACAAACTTTGGACCTTACTTTACTGTGAAAACTATTATTAAAACGTTTACCAGGTAATTAATTAATTATTTTAAAATATCTAAAATTATGGTTTTCAAATTGAAGTAACTAGACAATAAACTTCTCTTCTCATCTATGAAACAAGAACAAAGTCAGAAACCTTAGACAACAAAGACAAATGACTCGACACGAATTCTTTGTTAATAAAACGCAACTTCCAAGTAACTAAGTATTACCAATTCTCCTAATTAATTTTATGCGTATCACCAAAGAAAACTATAATGTACTCACTTTTTTATTTGAGATTAGCAGAAAAATAAAGGGTACTAATCGAACTTAATTACGATTTGCGCTGGTACACAAACTGTACGTCCACTCACTAATGGGAGTAAATTGTTTTTGTGCCTTTTTTTTCACAATAGCGTAGTTTTGTAGACGCCGCCCGTGACCACAGATTTCGAGACTAGGGATGCCCGATCTGCATCGATTTTTGGAAGGAGATTTACGGCAATACGATTAATCGATATTGAATCAATAATCAATTCAATAGGCTACGCTTAAATCCCCAGATGGAATTATGATCAATCAAAAAGAGACTGATGTTAATTTATGGGACGGACCAAGTTAAAAATATGGAACCGTATTATTAATCTTAGGAATGGAAAAAGGCTGAGAGTAAACCATGGTATGGAACTATAGACGTACTTTACAAAGACAACCTCCATGCCCCAGTGGTTTGTACGCTACGCCGACTTTGAAGGTTCCACCTACTCAGACGTTCAATTCCCAGTGGATGGGGCAAAAGTTAGTATGATGAATAAAAGCATTGGCACTTTAGTCATGGATGTTTTATATATTATATTTCTAGATAAATACCTATACTTTTATATGTATCAGTATATGTATTCTATCCATTACCCTAGTAGCCCATAAAAAGCCTTACTATTTGGAGTGTTTTGTTGGAATCGATGAAACATTTTCAATAGTCCAGAAGTTATGTAAAAAAATATTAATTTTTGCTATGCTTGGTTCCACTCCACGGCTTTAAAAAACAGTGACGACATCAAAATGAAAGGTTTGCACTTTATTTTAAAAGCTCGTGCAATATTTAAATAAAAATATTAGTAAATATTAAGTATTTTAATTACCCGTAGGATATAAGAAATATGGTCATCTTATTATAAAAGGAACTCTCGCTTTTCCCGGTTCATCAGTTAACTCAGTCTTGTTTGCCTGGTATGGTACGGTACGATCAAACCAATTGATCCCAGTCCAAAACAGACTTTTGAAACTCGACGCCTCCCGTCGTCGCCTCGCAAGTCGCAACGCGTATGTTCAGTGTTTCAGTTTATAAGCATTGCGTCGTGCCGGAAGTTTCTAATGTGATTCTGATCAAAGAAAATAAAACGTTTCAATTGACTCAACACGCGTCGGGTGGTGTCGCGTTTTAAAAGTTTGTTTCGACCTCAAATCGCTTAAAAATGTCAAAACAGACAAGTTTTTCTTTGTAGGGAATGCCTGAATGGATCAAAATATATTTGATATATTACCCTTACTTTCAAAGTAATTGATCACGTTATAGATAAAATAGGAAAAGTAGTTTAAATTTCGAAATCACTAAAATCGTAAATGTAACAACTCATCCGATTTCTTGACATTATAAAAAACGTTGGTAAGCTAACAGGGAAATCCTTAGTAATCCGTGGGCGAAACTCGAAATAAAATAATTTTAAAATTATGTCACATACATTGTTCAGAAAATAACAAGTTGGTTTCCAGGGATACCTACGTACAGTTTGTCTATAAAGTCGTGACATGAATGATTGAGGAAGTAACATTATTCATGTGTCTGGCAACACCAAACTTATGTACATCAGCTGTCATCGAGTTTCAGTTGTGGAACAATTTCCTTTTGTATTTTTTATTGTTTGGATTAAACTGTAATAAATGAAGACGGAACTACGCAGAAAGGTATAAAAATGAGTAAAGTAAATCGGAGTGGCACGCGGGAAGTGATTTTTAAAGTTTTCCCGCGATGTTTCGTAGACTACCAAACTGGACGGATTTTGTGGGATTTGGATGATGTTTATGGGCGAACAGGATCTATGGCGGGTATGTATCCGTGTAACTATTTGTTTGTAATCTGCCTGAAGTTACAAATTTACTCAATTTTACGATTTTGAGACCAAAAAAGGAATTGTTTACATTGCACATTTTTAGGTTAGATTGACATTGTAAATAGGTAATATTATAGTACGACCATTTCTTTTGATACGTTATTATGGGTCAACTCGGTCAGGTTTTCTACCAGTTTTGAATTAATTACTTCATGTCAATTAGTTATTGTTTCTATTCCGTTACATATTTTTTTACTTTTTTTTTCAGGAAAATCAGAGAGTCGGATAGTCAACGAAGGTTTTAAGAATGATGGAAAGTTTGAAACTCCTGGGAAAACAGGCAAGGCCGACCAAAGAAAGAAATGGTCACATAAAGAACCATGGCCAGATGCTTTTAGTGAAGATACCTATCACTAATTTAACTAACTGCACATTTACAAATTGTTTCTCTAAATAAACTTTTTATATAGTATAAAATGATTTTTAGTATTATTTTCTTAACAAGTGTGTTAAAAAACGTCGTATGATGATACTTGTGTGTATTGATGATTACCTAACGGCTCTGGTCTCAATGGCACCTCAGCGGTAATCACCAACATTACACACTTTTACACTATAAAGTACTATTTTATCTATAATAATTTTATTCTGATTCAATTAAATATGCTTGGCTAAACTGTTTATAAGCATAGGTACCTACTATATATAAAACAGAAACAAAATACGACTGTATAGTGTGTCTTATTAATTACCTATTTTACTTGAATGAATTGTTAGTATCAAAATCATTTTGGTCAGACTGTATAGGGTTGCTACATACATACTAGTGGCGCCATCATTTAATGTCACGACTTTGTAGACAAACTGTACATTTAAGCAAAAATCTACCTTATTGTGTTGAAATGGTTGTAACAAAATTAGAGCATAATGGCTGAAGAATCAAATTGGCTGATTGTACATACAAGCGTAGGTAATCCGAGGAGGTCCATCTGTTCGATACATACAGCACTCACACTCGAACCAAAATTATAGAGTAGCGCGAATGCGGACCATCCATCGAAGCTCTAAAGCTAACTGAGGAATTACGGATAATAGTAAATGCATATATAAACATGGTCGAGAGGACTTTTCTGTGTTTATTATTACATTTAAAAAAAAACATTTAATTATAAAAGCTGTGTGGACATACCATCGTTTGCGATAACATTAGAAAATTTATAACAATAATAAGGAGGTTGTCACTTTGACGTTGATGACAATTGACGTTTTGATTTGATTTAAGAAAGGAATGTGGTGAGGGCTTGTGGAAAGGTTATATTTTTTAATAAATTTACAATAATGAAAGAAAATAAAGAGAAAAGTTTAAAAAATGGTAACAAACACAAAAAATTTCAGTTATACAAACCTCGTAAAAAGAAAAGTGCTGAAGAAGATGCAGCTATCCAATATTTACAAGCCCAATATGAGAAGGTTAATTTATATTTGATAATTTCTTATAATTCCGATATTTAGCATTCTGCTGTACAACATACTTCTTGGCTTAAGTCACTGCTGGTAAACCTAAGACTGTAATTCCACAGACGAGGGTCGTACTTTATTAAAATAGTTCATAACGTAGTATTTTGTACTGAGCAGAATGTAGAGCTGATTCAAGTAAATGTACTAAAGATAATGAATACTGCCACACATTCGTTAAATTTTCGATGTTTGATCATGTTTTTGGCTCAAATAGTAACCTCGAGTTACAGTTAACAGAAGAATATGAATAATCTGTATTAACACTTATCTAAAAAATGGTTAGATCACATTTAGTTTTTTTTTTGTTTTTGGGACGTTTGGACCAAAATGTCCATACCAGCCCCATCGTAACCTGACCATACAATTTTCTTAAAATTACTTAACTATTACATAAAATTTTTTTGCTGCCATATTGCAAAGCACACCAGCCTCCTCCGATAGGGGCTTGGCTAGGATGCCCTGCAATATGCCAGTTTCAAACCTATTAATTTTAAGGATGGAGAATGCACATTTAATATGATCTTTAAAAATACTTAATGCAGTATTTACACCAAAATATTATTGCGAACCCAACTCAACATTTAAATTGACTTTTATTTGGCATACTTTTAGTATTATTTTGAGTATTTTTTTTTCTATTTTATACACCTACATCTTTTGTTGAGGTAAGTTGTTTTGTTTTAGATTCTTCCTGAAGAGATCAAAACTTTTAAAGATTTTCCTCTGTCACAAAAGACACTAAAAGGTCTCAAAGAAAACAATTTCATTTTACCAACAGAGATTCAAAAGCAAGCCATAGGGTATGCTTTGCAAGGGAAAGATATTCTTGGTGCGGCTAAAACTGGTTCTGGAAAAACTCTTGCATTTTTGATACCAGTACTTGAAAATTTGTTTTGCAAGAAATGGACTCGTCTAGATGGAGTTGGTGTATTAGTTATTTCACCCACAAGAGAATTAGCATATCAAATATATGAAACGCTACGCAAGGTTGGCCATTTTCATGACTTTTCAGTGGGATTAATAATTGGTGGGCAAAATTTAAAATTTGAAAGGAAGAGAATGGACCAAATGAATATTCTTATTTGCACTCCTGGTCGTCTATTGCAACACATGGATGAAAATCCTCTCTTCAATTGCAATAATCTCCAAATTCTGGTTTTGGATGAAGCAGACAGATGTCTGGACATGGGTTTCGAAACCACAATGAATGCTATTATTGAAAACTTGCCACCAGAGAGGCAGACACTCCTTTTTTCAGCAACTCAAACAAAATCTGTTAAAGACTTAGCACGTTTAAGTTTATCTTACCCCACATACGTTGCCCCACATGAACAGGCTGAAACAGTGACCCCTGAGTTCCTTCAACAAAGTTACATTGTCTGTGAGATTGATGAGAAACTTGGAATTCTATGGTCCTTTATAAAAAATCACTTGAAACAGAAGGTTTTAATATTTATGGCAACTTGCAAGCAAGTGAAGTATACTTATGATTTGTTTTGTAAACTAAGACCTGGTGTAAGCCTGCTAGCTTTGTATGGTACTTTGCATCAAGAAAAAAGAGAGAAAATATACAATGAATTTTGTAGAAAATCAAATGTGGTTCTTTTTGCTACTGATCTGGCTTCAAGAGGATTAGACTTTCCAAGAGTTAATTGGGTCATTCAAATGGATTGCCCAGAAGATGTTGATACTTACATCCATCGTGCTGGTAGGACTGCCAGAGGAGTTTTTGGTAAAGGTGAAGGCCTTTTAATGTTGTTACCTCATGAAGAGAAAATTATAGAACAACTAAAACATAGAAAAATACCAATCAATAAAATTTCAGTAGATCCCTCAAAAGTAATTGCACCTCAAAGGAAAATAGAGGCTTTATTATCTGATCACATAGAGTTAAAACAGACAGCACAAAGAGCATTTGTAAATTATCTAAAGTCTGTGTTTTTGATGAAAAATAAAGATATATTTAATGTGCAACTCATTGATACAGATGCTTATGCTAGGTCACTTGGCTTAATTGTGCCCCCAAGAATAAGATTCCTAAGAAAGTATCAGAAAAATAATGTTGCCATGGGTAATGAGGGTGCTGGAACTGATGATGTTGTTGAAAAATTAAGGGAAACGGCTGAAGCTAATAAGGACTCAGATGAAAGCAGTTCTGATGAGGAAGAAACTAATATAGAACCTTTGCTTGAGTCTAAGAAAACAAAATTACAAAAAAATAAAATTCAAATACCTAAATTAAATTTCCATAATGAAGAAGATAGCGATGATGGTGATTTTTTACAAATTAAGAAAACAAATGTTGATGTTCATGAAACTCCACAAGTTGAAGATGAACCTAAAATCTCAAAGAAAAAAGCGAAACCATTAACAAAAGCAGCAGTAGCTAAAAAGATTTTAAAAAAGAAAATCAAAGTTAATACCACAGTTAAATTCACTGAAGAAGGTGAAGTAATACAAGATGACCAGAGAACCTTGAAGTCGGATGTTGCAAAACAATTGAGTATTGAAAATATTGGTGGAATCGACATAGAAAAAGCCAAAGAAATGTTACAAGAAGAAGATAAATTTGACAAAATTCGATTTAGGGAGAAAGTGAAAGCTAAGCATAAGGAACAAAAACGTAAATTGAAGAATAAAAAGAAAGAGGAAGATGGAGAGAAAGATGAATTTGGATCATTATCAGAATCTGAAGGTCCTGATCTGTCATGGTTACCAGATCCTGATAAAATTTATGGGAAAAATGACAGTGATGATGGTTCCTTATCTGATAACTATGAGAGAAATTCTATGCAGTCAGAAGACAACCAGGAATCAGAGGAATCCGGAGTTGACCAGGTCTACCACAGGTAATTTATATAGTATCAATTTTGGACGATTCAAAAGTGTTGTACTATACATCCAATTTCAATAAACATATTGATTTCTGAATGTTATTGACAAGTTAAATTTGTTGTATATGTACCAAATATTTAATTTACTATATGTTCTTATTTTTGTTTTTCAGACCACCTAAGAGAAAACTAATTGAGAATAGAGGTATTCCCCAAGAGAGCGTGGCGCCTCGCAAAGTAAAGAAGATAGAAGATATATCCTGTAAATTGTCTGTACAAGAAGCTGAAGCTCTTGCTATGAGCCTTTTGCAGAAAAACAATAAAGTTTAATGCTTAAACAGTTTTATTGTCTTTGTTCTTATTACCTTACCATTACCATGTTAAAAATCGAAATGTGTGCTGTCGCGATATAAAAAGTAGTCACATGGTCCCAGTGTTATCAGAAGATCGGTAGGCAGGGCCTTGGCTTTTTCTATGGTGTTATCGCAAAAAAGGAAATACTGGGTGAAGAATTGGCAACAGAGAGAAATGTATTGTATACTAGCTGACCCAGCGAACTTCGTACCGCCCTAAAAAAATAGGGGTTGTCCAGCGGACAAAATTGTGAATCTAAACCATTCTCAGATCCCCTTGAACACACACAAAAAATTTCATCAAAATCGGTCCAGTCGTTTAAGAGAAGTTCAGTGATATACACACTCACAGAAGAATTATATATATAACTAGCTGACCCAGCGAACTTCGTACCGCCCTAAAAAAATAGGGGTTGTCCAGCGGACAAAATTGTGAATCTAAACCATTCTCAGATCCCCTTGAACACACACAAAATTTCATCAAAATCGGTCCAGTCGTTTAAGATAAGTTCAGTGACATACACACTCACAGAAGAATTATATATATAAAGACTAGCTGACCCAGCGAACTTTGTACCGCCCTAAAAAAATAGGGGTTGTCCAGCGGACAAAATTGTGAATCTAAACCATTCTCAGATCCCCTTGAACACACACAAAAAATTTCATCAAAATCGGTCCAGTCGTTTAAGAGAAGTTCAGTGACATACACACTCACAGAAGAATTATATATATAAAGATAGGTAAGTAAGTAATGTTTATATTTCTATAAAAAATTCCACGCGGACCTGTCAGCAGACGGGACTCGAACCCGCACCCTTCGCTATCCGGGCGAATGCACTGATCAATTATGCTACCGCGGTCCTGACGGCCGTATCGAATTCTTTCTAGCCTTAAGCTGTAAGGCAGCGCCATCTCTTCGTATTATTAAGTAACCCACAATGTAAAATGAATACCTTTAAAAGTATTAAACATTTGAAAGAAGAAATTGATTTTATTTTTTTAAGCATGTAACTGCTCAATGTTTGAATCTTAGGAAAATATCACAAGAAAAAATAAAAAAAAAGATTTATATTTTTGTAGTAATATTTTCTTTAGATTTAAACATCGAACAGTTACATACTCAAAAAATAAAAATTATAAGTAAGTAATGTTTGGTTTTTTATCCCACATGTGGGGTCGGTCTTTATATACTTCGATCACTCGTGTCCAAACTTCATGCTCTGACCTGCCGCCATCTTGAGGAAATACATGCGCTGCGTGTGACAGCTAGCAACCGACTGATTGAGAAATTGCCCCAATCGCGCTACACACGCGGCAACGTGCAGGGCGGCAGGGGCAATCTTGGGACCAAGGGTGGTCTCGCACTCCTGCCGCCCTGCCGCAGGCCCGATTTAGAAAATGACCCCTGCCTGCCTACACACATCGCAATTCAGGAGGCAATTAAGGGTCATCCCCACTCTTACACCCTAGCCTGTCCCTGCGGCAGGCATGTCAGTAGGCCGCTTAAGTCTATGATCAATCGAATGATTAAATGAACGAATATATTTTTTTAGCTATGGCAACAGTCACTCAACTGTCAAAAAGAAAACGGATCGTTCGTTCCTTGCACTTTTTATCGGAAACGCTAAAATCGTAAAAATAATAGATTTTCTATGGATTTAGAGTAATTAGAATACTTGTACTTATTAATTTTAATTATGTTTTGGAGCGGAAATTATATGGTAGTTAGGCAGTTGAATTTTCTTCTAAAAGAAGAGGTGGGTATTATAAATCAAAACTTTGATGGTTATAAAGAGGTTGGTTGGACGAATCATGAACCTACAGTTTTCTCTCAGTTTAGTCCTTTTTTTTCTTCATAACTTTCATCTGGTTAATGTACGATTGTTGGCATAAAACAGTTCAAATGATTCTGATGATCTGTTCCAGAACGTAACACTAGCGCAGGTATTAGAAGCGGATGATATTTTGCAAGAATGTCAAGCGGACAACAAAGCTTTGATGCAATTGTGAGTACCGCTATTAAGCTATAATATATTTTTTAAAGCTGTATCATTGAAAAAAATTTTTTTTCTCTCCCTTACCTTATATGATTTTGAAACCTAATGCTACAGTTTTTTTTCAATAGAGCTATTATTATAATGACATTAACTACTGTTCTGTATCTGTACAATTTATCAGGCTGCTTTTTATCATAGCAGCCTTTTAAATTACACAAACAATAAATTGCCTTTGGATAATATTTTTCATAATTTGTGATATCATATTCTTATGATATAGATATCAATATCCTACAGTTAACTATCAATACATTTAAAACTACTAAATTCGTTCTTAATAATAATGCCTACGATAGGGTTTCTGATATTATTCTAGGCAATAATGCTAGATTTAAGCTGTTCCTAATGTTCCGACAGGCTGTTTCTATAATATCATACAGATGACATGATTTTGTATTTACACTGTAACAATATAATATTTTGTTTATATTCTTACATATTTAACACTGAAGTTCTTTTCCTAATTTTTCACAGACAGCTAAAAAATCCTTAACGGGTGGTAGGGATAATTTATGGATGATTCAAAAGAATTGTATTATTCCTGTTGCTTCCAATTTTAATAAAGAAATTTTAACTTTGTCTTTGTTATGTTTTATTTTAATAAACTCTAATAAGATATGAAAGGTAATAACAATATGTGAATTTCACAATTTCTTTCTATTTTCAGCCTAACAAGGCCAAAGATACTGGCTGAACTTATAACACTCATAACAGAGGAACCACCAAAAAATGTGGAACTCGCCTCACAGTATAGGCATGCAAGCATTGCATGTGAGGTTCTCACAAGTCATCTGTCCACACTCAGCGACCGCTTGTCAATGGATGTGGTGCAAATGAACAGGCTATGTGATTTCATCAATAGAGAGCCGCCACTGAACCCTCTACTGGCATCATACTTTAGCAAAACAGTGGAAATGCTGCTAGAGAGGAGTCCTAAACAGGTAATTTAATATATTTTCTAGAGTATGAAATACATCTTACCTATTTTCTCTTCATTATATCATTTTACTGTTTAGTTGGCATAAATAGGTAGCATTTCACTTGGTAGGTCTCTGAATAAACAATATTAAAAAAGTAATGTTCACCTTACTTGTTTCTTGGGTTGACATGCACATCACTCATTGAATAAAACATGTTTCAACGGTATAGATGCACTGATTTATTTATTTATTGACGTTTTGCATCCTTTTCAGTATGCATCGTTGGAATTATGAAATGTCAATAAATAAATAAATCAGTGCAACTATACTGTTAAAACTTGTTTTATTTAATGATTACCTTGTAATAAGAAAGCTTAATTAAAATTGTGGAGGAGTGGAATTTCTGGCATACATTGAAACACAGTAGAGTTTGGTCTATCGCTAATAGTCCTGAAAGAGCTTGGTGTTATGAGAAACCAAGAGTTTTTATGGAATTTTAGTAATGCTTAGGTTTTTGAGTACTCCATGAAATGTTTATGTAGTCTATATGTCGTAGTAAGAAGATAAATCCGTAATATTTATATCCCTAAGGATATAATAATATACCTTAACATAGTTATATGAAAGAGATTCATTACTATCTTACTAGGAATATGATTATAAAATGGTTCTAGTTTAGTAATATTACTTGATTCAGTTTAGTGAAATAATTGTAGGAGTGTAGATGTCATAATTCTGGGTCTTATCAGAACAATAAGTCTCAAAACTGTTGATTAGTTCAAAGTTTTACAAACACTAAGGGTCAATTTATACTAGCGCAGAGTCAAAGCGCATCGAAGCGTAAATCCAATTATTAACATAACAAATTCAACCTTATCTCCACAGCGGACTGTACACATTACCTCGGAGATTTAAAAAGACGCGCGCTCATACGACGGATTCGCGCGTCTGCGCGTAACCAACGCTGATTTGTGCACGCGCATTCTCGCGAATCCACGTGCTCACTAACTTATCTACACGTTATCATTCAGAAATTAGCCTGTGATGATAGATCAACTGGCAAGTGATGCAATAGCACTGCTGCTGATAAAAGCGTATTCTCGCGAGTACGCGCGCATTCGTACAACTTTGTTTTAGTTGTGAAGAATTTTACGCATCGATGCGCTTTAACTCTGCGCTAGTATAAATTTACCCTAAGATTTTTTAATTAATACTTAAAGCAATAATATAGCAACAATAAAGTGAAATATTGTTAATGCTTAATATACAAAATATATATTTTTTAATAATAACAATTACTTTAGGTTATATATTATTGCTTAAAAGTATTCTAACTAATTGCACATAACAAAAAGTTAATTTTACAATAAAAATAAAAACCAATATATGGTTTAAGTTGATTCTTTGGTAACTTATAACTATTTAACTAGATTAGTTTAGTCAGATAAACATATTACTAGATTGCAATTGTAAGATAGTAATGAATCACTGTCATATTAGTGTTTAGAGTATATAATTATATCCCTACAATTATAACTATATTACGGATTTACTTATCTTACTGCGACATATATACATATTATTATTATTATAAAAGCTAAACTTTTTTATGATTTAAGAAATCAAATATTTAAATAACCTTTAATTTTTTGAATGGATTTTTTTATAGTTGCAAAACTAATATAATGCTTGTTTTTGCTTAATATAAATGTATTGGCCTTTAAAGCGAGCTTAAATAGGAATCCACATTCAATAAATTTTACTCAGCTGCAAAAATACTGTGTTGTGTTCAATTTATTATTCTGTGAAAGAATTGCACTAAAAATGCTTCCATGTTGGCCTTTCACATGGGTATGATGATATAAGACTGCTGTCATATGTCATCATCTTCATCAGCCTATTAATGTCCCTACTGCTGGGGCACAGGCCTTCCCCTTAGATGGAATAGATAAATGCTGGCAATAAACATTCCTAAAGCTAGCACTTTACATGGCTTCTCATATTTGCTATTTGCAGCCATCCCCCTGTTTGTCATTGTTTTGGTTGAAATTTTTATATTTATTATATTATAGGAACAAAGCATGTCAGTTTTTGACTAAATTAAATATCAATTTTACATTTAAAGAAAGTTTTACTAAAAAAAACGGACATACAGGTGAACAGCACGTTCACATGTGATAGAGGTGAAACCTACATAAATGTGAACATGTAAAAGTCCTTCATGACTGGGTACTGTAACATACAGGTAAAATACAAAATTAAGTATTCGAAAAATTAATAATAGCATAATAAAATAAACAAATAAAAAAATAACAGAGCTCAGGATGTTACTGTTTGAGTAATTGTCTCTTGCAGAGAGTTACAAAATTACAGATACCTTGTGTTAAATATTGTCGCTTTTTCGTTTCATCGAGTTTCAAATCACAACAAAAAAAAATATGTAGCAGTTAAATGCTTTAAAAAAGAAATAGATTCAATTTTACTATTTATTATGAATTGAGATGTGGGTTTCTTATAATAGTAGTATATACAGTAGGCATGTTAGTGCATGTGTGGCCGGCGCGCGTGTGTGTGTGTGTGCATGTGCGCGCGCCGTGCGTGTGTGTGTGTGTAGCCGCCTGTCACGTGATGTGATGTCTCTGCCGCAGGCGCGCCCCGGGCCGGACCCGAATAAGTTGTCGGCGCTGATGCTCCCTAAAGTACTAAGGAACCTCTGTTTTACCCAGGACTGGTACCTATACCACATAGTGTGCCTGCGGGTGCTCGATTTCTTCAAGTCCCGCCGGGACTTCCTGCCCAACTTGCTGCGCCACATATCCACCTCCGCCATTGCGGATACCTTCAAGTACTTTATAAGACTTGATGATCTTTTCAACAAAATTATAATGGAGGTAAGTCAACTTGCACTGGACAGAGATAAATAAGTTCATCTATTCATAACCATCTACCATATTTCAATCAGGCAGATGTTTATGGCTGATTTACAAAGGAATGGCAGCGGCCGGCAGTGACGAGACGAGCACTCCCATTGTGAAATAATTATAATCTTTAATTAAGTACATACTTAAAATATATTACCTACTTTTAGAGCTTTTCAAGTCTTTTAAGTATATATATTTTTTTTAATTTGATTCACACTGTAACTGCTCGTCGCGTTGCTGCTGAAATTCATACATTATCCTAAAAAGAAATATGTTTAGATTGTTGTTTTCATTACGAATCTGAAAAACTTCATACAGAATGATAATAATTATCTCTTTATTTAATAGCCGGATGTTTTCTATCTTATAGAGCTTTGCAAACTTCGAGAGAATGTTTTTTCTTTCAACCATAACTTCATGATTTGAAAACGGTATGCAGATTTTCAACAGTGTTTTTGGAATCATAAACATCTGATTCACTGTTTAACATAATATTACTCAGCACCAGAACAATTGGCGAATTGAATTATCTGACTCATTTCCCATTATTTGCTTGCGCCAGGTCAACAGCGATAAAATATCAACAGATTCATTACAATGAATAATACCAAATCAATTGGATAATCACTACTGAAATATTTTCAGAGTTAACAACCTTTGGAAATAGAACACATTTTGCATATTTTCTATGAAAACAATTCATTGAATATTGTTCATATTAAGCTGAGCAGCTGTACAAACTGGCCACATTCTATTAATATGAATTAACTAGAATGATCATTGAACTTAATCTATTGACATAATATGTAATGTATAAGCAGCCTATTTAGAAACTTACTATATTTATTAAACATCATGAAATTCTTTATTATGGTATTTTGGTTTTTGTGAGATTATTCTCAATCAACTAAAGAATGTTTATAGCTTAATGTTTTTTATGGTAAATGCCGGCCATATGCGCGTGGTCACCTGCAAACAAGCTTAAGGACCGCCTGATGGTAAGGCAAAAGCACTGCTGAGCTTCTGCCTATTTGCATCAATGTCATTTACTAATCATCGTCACGACTGTAGTTCAGACTAGATATTTAAGAATTGTTTAAACTTATAACCATCTATGTCTGCAGTGATAAAATGTATTATTAATTGTATTAATTTGTGATTTAAAATATATGAATGAAGGAATGAATGATGGTAAGTGGCCACCATAACCTATAGTCGCTTGCGATATCAATAACTCGCACCGTTGCGTGCCCTGACCCAAACCTTTACCCTGTGGAGCCCTGGAACCTTACACACCGACAGAAACACAACACCCACCAAAAGGCAGTAAAACTACGGCGGGAGACCTTGTACTGAGAAGAACCGGCAAGAAACTCAGCAAGGGCTGCTTTTTTCTCCTTGTATTCATATATACAGAGTCGTCAAGTTGAAAAATGACTTCAGATGATACTTCTGAAGTCACCAGTGTTAATTTACTGTGGTTTTCTATATGGTCGGGTGACTTAGACTGGTGCTCCGTTTCGACCCGAAAATCCTTTTTGCCATACCTCTCTTCTCTGTCTCATTGTTTCCTAAGGTTCTTTTCCCTTTTTTGGGTCGGACGTACTAGAAAGACGCCTTCGTCGTCTTACTAGTTGCCTCGTGCCCATAACTAAGTGGTATCGCTGGCCTAAATCAAATTTCTTCATAATGCCCCAGTTTTCTTTCTTCGCCTCCACCACTCCACTCCGATTCCTGTGCCATCCGCGCCCGAAGTCACGTAGCAACTTGAAGTTCGCCTCGGAGTCCACAAGGTTACAGTGGTGGACTGAACCAATTTTGAGCCCGTTTCCCTCCCAACAGTAGCCCTCACCTCACCTCCGCGAGTTCCATTCGGTGAAATTTTTGGGTATATTTCAAATGTATGGACTTCGCGTACCAAAACTATGCCAAATGGTGGGAGCAAAGCTCTTCTTTACCGCAATTTAATTTCTTTGCGGCACCGTCCTTGAAACCGGACGTCATCATCAATCCTATTAAAAAAAACTAATTGTGCCGTAGTAAGCTGTAAAAGGGGTTGAATTAGAATAGGTGGCCGGGCCTATGTTTTTAAACCACTTAATGAGTTCTCTTGAGTGTGTACCCGGTTTTCATACAATTTACCAACTATACCACAATGAGTGACAGATCAGTCATTGTGGTATAGTTCGCCTCAGAAGGCGCCGTTCTCCCTTATCACACCTACCTCTTTTCATCAGAGGAGCACGCGCGCTGGCCTGCGTTGTCTACTTACTGTGGCCACTATTTTTCCACAAACAAAGAAATTTGGTGACTCATTTCTATGTCGTACTATTCGCAAGTGGAAGTCTTTGCCCGTTCACGTGTTCCCTTCCTCCTACAATCTGGGGTTCTTTTAAGGAGGCGTGAAGAAGCATATCTGCAGGCTGTCAAGGTGAAGATGGTTGGTGTGGCAGTTTATGACTGCTACAGCAGCTAACCCCCCGTCTAGACTTTACCACCACATGCCATCAAAATATAAAAAAAAATAAGCACAAAATTACATCTAGAGGTCGCTCGCTTCGATGTAAATCTGTTTGCTCGGAGTATTTTGACTGCGTAAAGATTGATCATAATAATCATAATCATTTATTCAGTTTAGGCTGTTACAAGCACTCATGAATGTCTACAAGTTACGCCATCGGTTCGTAAATCTACGGCGGGAGACCTTGTACTGAGAAGAACCGGCAAGAAACTCAGCAAGGGCTGTTTTTTTTCCCTGTTTTATTATTTACAGAGTCGTCAAATTGAAAAATGACTTCAGAGATGATTCATGAAGTCATCTTTCATTACATAATTATTAAATATAAACTGTTTACCTGCATTTTGATTGCTGTGTCATACAGTAGAAATACAAATAGTGCTATCTAGTTATCTGTCACTTTCTGTTTGAGGTTACAACTAGAAGTTATTCTACGGTTGGTTGGACCATTTGTTTATTTGTGATCACATGACCAAAGATCCGTCGCCTCTGTGATGCAAATACCGAACGTAGCTCAAGTCTACTTAAATGTAGGGCTGTGGAATGTACAGTAAAGGGTCGGTTTTTGTTCGGTCAGTGGTTCGAGGAGCACCAGTTCCTGGAGTGCCTGATCCAGATAATCTGCGGGACGTACGTGCCGGAGCCGCTGGCCCCCAGCCAGGGGGGCGGGGGCTCCCCGGACCGCCCCGAGAAGGGCCAGCTCGAGCCCAGCGAGAAGGCCGACGCTAACCACACTGCACACGACACCGGTATGTAACAATATGGCAAGCAATGATGCGAATACTGCTGAAAATAATTTAGTTAAAATCATATCCCACGCTGTAAAAAATAATACAAAAAAAAATGGGTGCGTGTACTTAAGTACGCGCGTGAGAAGTTATACTTCTTTTTGCAATTATTAAAAAATAGTTTTTAATTGCATGCAGATAATTAATTACAATAAGATAATAAAAGGATTGGAAAAGGATAGTCAATAAAGTTCAGTTTTAATTTGAAAAATTTAATAAATAATCAATATATTCAATTTAAATCACTACTGAATAAAATTTATTAGCATATATAAATTTGGCATTTGTATAACATTATAACACGTGTTAAGAATATAGAAACTAGAAACATGTGGATAAATATTATAAATATGAAAACAGTGATCAGAGGCGACGAGCGTCCCAACATGTGCGACTAAGAGATCCTGTTACTATTTTGTTGGAAGCTTTTTTTCGAGACTTACGAGTAATGTGCGGTTTAGCGGTCGACTTCATGGTGTTACTTTTCTGTTACAGTGTTGCGCCACTGATGCTGAAGTTTTTTCGGTAATTAATATAAAACCAATGATGCTGAAGTTTTTTCGGTAATTATGGGGTTGTGCTCTGATAGTGCCACAGTTTGGGATGGTATTCCCGCTAGGGTTTTAAAGATGTCAGCGAAGGTCATTGCTACTCCCTTCAGTCATATGTGTAATGTGATTTGAAAACGGCGTTTTTCCGAATCACTTTAAAATTTCTCTTGTACAGCCAGTACATAAGAGTGGGGATAAAGATGATATAAATAACTACAGACCGATTTCTGTATTAACAACTTTTAAAAGTTTTGGAAAAAATTGTAAATAATAGACTGCTTAATTTCTGGACAAATTTAAAATTATAGCTTCTAAACAATTTGGATTTCAGAAAGGCAAATGAACAGAGGATGCTGTTTTGAACCTTTGTAACTCAGCAATTCATAGTATAGATAAAAACAAAGTCATAGGCATATTTCCCGTAAAAAAAATCTTTCGATACAGTATCAGTTCAAATTCTATTAGATAGTCCAAATCGCAATAGTAAACACGTCCTCGAAATTTTTAAAAAATATTTAAGTAATCGAACTCTGATAGTAAAAAATTATATACATAAAAGTGACGAGGAACACTTAACTTTTGGGGATTCGCAATGGAAGTGTTTTAGGACCAGCACTTCTTAATTTACATAAATAATTTATGTAAAATTAACCTTTAAAACATCTTTTATTCTTGAACAGAGGGCTTAGAAAATAACATAGAGGAGAAGACCGAGGCCCATGAATCAGCTAGCGTTATAGTTGAGGGCAAGGGTTCGGCCACCGTGCCACAAGCGGCGGCGGATACTGTAGCGGGCGCGGAGGCGGCGGCTGCGGCGGAGGCGGAGATGAAGGCGGATAGGATCGCCGCCGTCGCCTCCGCTAACGCAGCCGCCTTACTGTGCGATCTTATACTGAGCGGGTGTGCCGGAGATGGATATAACACTAGGTGAGTCATTTCTAATATAGTTCATAGTTATATAAAAAAGAGAAAATAAAGTGTTTAAGAAGGAACGCAAAGAGAATAGAGGTGCAACAGAAAAAGCATTCAAAGAGAGAAAAAATTGTGTGTGTCTCGGGACATAGGATGGAAGTGGTAGCTTAAAAATAATCTAAGCGGCGCTGTGGGTTAGGATGAGAGAGGAGGAGTCTGCCTATTGTTGTCGTATGCGTGAGGCGAAGGGAAGGCGTCGTAAAGCGTTACGTAACGAACCGGTCAACCCTCTCATTAGAAGTTGTGACAACTTCAAAACATTAGATGGAAGATCAAAACGCAAAATAAAGATTAAGTTACAAAACGGGGGTAGCTGAATAAAAAAATATTAAAAAAAATAGTCATCCGTTTTAAATCTTTCCTTTCACATACTTTATAAATAAAATCATATTACAATATGTCATTTTAATACTATTGTTATTCATATTTCCAATGTATTTTAATAATGTTCGGACTGTAATAAAGTTTGCTGTTCGATACAGCCAGAGGGGCGTGTAGAAGTTTAAAAGAGAAAGTATAGAAAGATTACGGGACTCACTTACGGAAAAATTCATCTTTCCGCCTCTGTAATATTATAGGGTGTGATTTCCCACGTTTATTGTACAGGGCGCGCACGAGTTGGGCGCTAGTGTCCCGCCTGGCGGGCGGTGGCGGGGGCGGGGGCGGTGGGGGCGGGGGCGGGGGTGGGGGCGGTGCTGGGGGCGCGGAGGCGGGGGCCGCGCGACTGCTGGCCGGCATGTTCACCGCGCCGCCCCGGGCCCGGCCCCACGCGCTGGTGCACGGCGCGCACGTGCTGCTCGCGCTCATGGACCACGACCCCGCGCAGTGAGTGCCCGCACCGCACTACTGCCGCACCACACTACACTACACTACACTACACTACACTACACTACACTACGCGCGCCTGCTGGCCGGCATGTTCACCGCGCCGCCCCGGGCCCGGCCCCACGCGCTGGTGCACGGCGCGCACGTGCTGCTCGCGCTCATGGACCACGACCCCGCGCAGTGAGTGCCCGCACCGCACTACTGCCGCACCACACTACACTACACTACACTACACTACACTACACTACACTACGCGCGCCTGCTGGCCGGCATGTTCACCGCGCCGCCCCGGGCCCGGCCCCACGCGCTGGTGCACGGCGCGCACGTGCTGCTCGCGCTCATGGACCACGACCCCGCGCAGTGAGTGCCCGCACCGCACTACTGCCGCACCACACTACACTACACTACACTACACTACACTACACTACACTACGCGCGCCTGCTGGCCGGCATGTTCACCGCGCCGCCCCGGGCCCGGCCCCACGCGCTGGTGCACGGCGCGCACGTGCTGCTCGCGCTCATGGACCACGACCCCGCGCAGTGAGTGCCCGCACCGCACTACTGCCGCACCACACTACACTACACTACACTACACTACACTACAATTGTCTACATAACACTACTCCTGTCTACGTTACACTAGTCTACACTGCAGTCGCCCGCAGTTCGCGTGCTTACATTAAAACGCGCATAAACACAACTCGCTGATATATTTTTACTGAACTACAATAAATTCTATAAACACTAATTAAATTAATAAATATGTCCAACACTCACACCCATTAGCCTAGCCCAAAAGTAAGCACTGTAAGGCTTGTGTTATGGGATACTAGGGAAAAGGGTATTTATAAATACATATTAAACATCTATAACCGAAGTACAAATTCTCATATTCATCACACAAACATCTGCTTACGCCGAGATTCGAACCCGGGACCTCTCAAGTCAGTGACACCATAAAACCCGGCGTATAAAACACGTAAGTCGTCAATATATTATTATTTTAACTTGACAAGTATCCTTTTAGGCTTTACTATTTCAATAGAATAAAAAATGAACTATTTTTCTTTCAACTATTATTTTTAAAAGTCACAACATAAGAGTTATGATTCTTACAGAACGCCATTGTTCTACATTTTTATTTCTTCACTTAACTTACAACCATTATTTATTCAAGATCAAATAAATGTTATTTGAAAGGCAGTTTCTTTTAGTACAAATACAGCCCACAGGAAGAACCCACTTCTAATGCACATGATTTTCTTATGAATTTCATAGAGAAAACGTGGCATGATCCAACACGTGCGCCCATTTCAAACTCTTTAGTGCCAACGACTGCTGATGTAGCCAGGACCAGACCCGTCTTTCCCAGTGGGCACTTTGGCCAAGTCCCCAGGGCCCCGCGATCGATAGGGGCCCCCCTCAGATCAAATACAATGTCCTTAGTTCCTGTTAAATCACAAAACGGAAGTCATAGGGGCCCCATTATCCTAATATACCCAGGGCCTCCAATAGGTCAAAGACGACACTGGCCAGGACCAACGGCTTAACGTGTCTTCAAAAGCAGGAGGTGCTCGAAATAGTCACCAAACAAAATTAATGATTTACCAACACGATCACCATTTACGCTATTAAAAAATATGAATATTTTTCTCTTATATTTTCACGCACACCACTGTTTAAACAAGTAACGTTTTTCAACGAGTTTCAAATGTTATACACTGCTTTCTCAAATGTTATCCTTTACAGGCTCCACTCTAAAGTGTCTGTCAATGAAACTCATTTACTTTCATTTAAGGTTGACCATTTATCAGTCATCTATACAAGCTTCGCATTAATAAAGACCATAGTGTTTGCTCTCGGGCATGAATTATTATCATACCTATAAACTCTCCTCTTGGATTGAGTATCAATTGCTAAAAGCTGCATCCAAATCCTTTGCGTAGTTTATAAGGGGGGACGAATTTATTTTATTCTATGATGAAGATGATGATTATCTCCCTAAGAGGTAAAAGCTTACCTTTGTTTTCTATTATTTTGGCATTTTATAGGTAATTCAAATATGTTCATGCAATAAAGAGTATAATTCATCATCATCGTCAGCCTATTAATGTCCCCATTGCTGGGGCAGAGGCCTTCCCTATGGATAGAATAGGGAGATTGAGCCTTGGCTGGGACCAACGGCTTAACGTGCCTCCCGAAGTACGGATGAACTCGAGATAAAAGATTTTTGGTCTCCCATCCAAGGCCGACCACTGCGAAAGTTGCTTAACTTCAACGATCGCAGCCGGACGCGTTAACCCCCCTGCGCCATTGAGCTCCTCACAGTATAATTATGTATTAGGGGCGGGGAATGCGAGACGCGCGGGGAACGAAGCAGCGTCGAACTGGCAGTGGCTCCACACGTGCCTCTACTGCATCAGGCCTTACTGGAGGAGCCCGCGGGGGGGCACGCGGGGGGAGTGGGGCTGGCGAGGGTGCAAGTGGCAGCGTTACTGGCCCAGTTGGCCCTCTCCGAGGTGCAAGAGGTTTGCAGCACCATGATCACGCTGGGTAAGCACTATACTTTTTAAGGAATTGAAATTTTTATAAGAGATTTTGTTGTAAAAAAATGTTATTTTTTATTTATTTAGTATTTAGAAGAGTTGGTTTTTAATGCTATGATATCTTGGTATCGGTTGAAATTTTATACTATTGCTCTCATATAAGTAAAATCATTATTCATGAACGTAAAGAAAAATAAAGGCCCCAGAATGGAGCATTGAGGGATGCCTTCCTTTAAATTAAAAAATGTTGTTCTATTATCGATCTTATCACACCCCATTTTGAATTCAATTCCTATTTTAATCTCCAAATACCAGTATGATATAATTTGCCTAATACTAATTCGTGATTAAAATTTATCAGGAGCAATCTTGATTTTAGTAAATTACTCACAAATTTTGCCATGATTATTTAAACTTAGCTTCAATTGTACCAATTGTTAATCAGTAACAATATTATATTTTATCTAGTGAAATTGCTTTCTATGAAATTATCTACTATCTTTACTTTGATTATATTTTTTCATTAATATTTGAAAGCATAGATAGAGCTTCAGATACATCTTTTGTATGTAAAATGCGCTGAAATAGGACTAGAGGTCGTCTAATATAAAACTGAACTCCGCTCCACTGAGTGATTAAGCCGTGAACGAATGAACGATCACTTAATTGTACACCATGAAAATTTAAATAACATAAATGTATATATATGTTAAGTGTATTTATATAAGGCGTGCTGCCACGTTCGTGTCTAGCCGACGACTGAATCAACTAATTGACCAAATGACTATAGCTACTTTGTATTTATCGATCTATACGCTGATTAGGACAATGGAGGGGCGTTCAGTTTTAGTTTAGACGATCTTTACGAAAGTTTTCCCTCGATAATGATATAAGTAATGATGATTTAGGCACTCCCGGCGTGGTGCTGGACTTGTTCTTCCGTCACGCGGAGAACAACTTCCTGCACGCGCAGGCGCTCGCGCTCGTCAAGCACGCGCTCAACAACCGCGTCTACCGCACGCAGTACGCGCGACACGTCAGTATATACCACACTATGACACTCGCGCACCACACTGTGTACCAATACAAAACTACAACTCACGCAGCATATTCCACACTATGTCATTCCGCAGTATGTACCACACTATGCCACTCACACACCACACTGTATACCAGACTACAACACTCACACACCACACTATATAGGGTGATCCAACTAGTGACGACACAGTACTATTTTTTTTCATGTTTTTTGGTAGCTTTGAAGCATGCGGAGTTTTTAAACTTAACCAGAAGCTATGGAAACCCCTTTTTGTATTTTTAAATTGAAGTTGAATGTTTGAGTAAATTCTACTAAAAAATAAAGTTCCAACTTTCAAGCTTTCTTTGAGTAACTTTAAGTAATTTCAGGAAGCTGAGTAATTTTTTTTTATTAAAACAACATTCAAAACAATTATGTCACAAAAAAAGGCTTCAAAATACCTACTACGAAAAAAGATATAAATTTTTGAAACCTCGCTGGCAGAAATCACTAAAAATACACAAAAAAAAAATAGACTCGAAAACTAAGAAAAATCGCGGAACATAGTATTTTAGGATACAACCAGGTGCGAGGAATCTAAAAAAATTGTTGACGTCACTAATTGGACCACCCTGTATACCAAACTACAACACTCACGCAGCATATTCCACACTATATCATTCACGCACATGTACCATACTTTGTCACTCACGCATATATACCACACTATATCTCACGCAGTATATACCGCTATATCCACTTCAGCAAATACAACCATTTTTAGTAATACATCCCGTCCGTATAGTTTACTTAGAACCTCCAGTAAGAGGTGGTCTATCAGAGCTTAGATCATAATCAGTCTATTAAAGTGTCCATTGCTACGGCTCATGGCAAAGGGATAAAGGGCTATTTAACCTACCGTGTGGCATTGGTGGGTGCTGACGACTGCAGATGCAGCCGGGACCAACGGCTTAACGTTCCTTTCGAATAGGGTTGCCATCCATCTGGATTAGTCCGGACGTGTCCAGATTTTAAGTCTATAGTCCGAACTTTGTCCGGCGCTTTAAATTGTCAGGATTTTTTGAATTAGTTTGAATATGAATAGTAAAACTACATATCAATTCAAATACCATACCATTGTAACTGATTAATGTTTCCATTTTGTGCTTAGAAAGTCTGGACTATTTTAGAAATGTCAACATTTTTGTCAGGACCCTTGATTATTCCTAACCCTACTCCCGAAGCACGGAGGAAAGCCAATGTCATCTCTAATATCCTAAAAATAGATGTATCATCATTTGAGGTACAACTCAGTTTCGCTTTCGCTACCAATAAAGTGTATTTTATTTTGTTATCTACTTTACTGCATACCTTATTACACCGGAGGCCCAAGCACGAATTTTGATAGTTCTGTAAACGTTTCGCATCGTCAAATTTTCTATGAAAATTGAGAAGCGCCCCTATCGGACGTAAGAACAGAGCTTTTTTCTTACCTAACCTTAACGATGACGATATGATTACAGAGCTGTCAAAATTCGTGCGTGGGCCTCTGATCATACAAATGTGAGAAATGTGAGTCGAAAACAATACGCCTCTTGTAAACCACCGTAGTTTTACCGCGTGCCAGGAAGACATACAGCGTCGGCCCGGTATCCGGAAAAACAACGGTCGTTAAAAAATACCTTAAAGTGATTGAAATAGATTTCAAACTTAGATTAAAACAAAAAGGGAAGATACCACACGCTCATACTAACATTAAATAAAATATGCTCCAATTCAACTACATAAACAATTTTCACACACGCACATTTCTGTAAATAATCATTCAATCGAGCGAGCGAGACAGAATGTACGCTTCACCGCAGTGCGAGCGAATCAGCAAGTCCACGACGCTTGACAGCCGACTGCGTTATTTTTTCTCTCTACAAACGGCTATTATTAATAATAATAATTAGTTAGTTACATGATTACATATTATCTAGTGTTAGTATCGAAATTTAATTACTTACTTACAAAACATGTGCCCGTGCCGTATAGGGGAATCATATGAACCCCCCATAACTTCCAGAATGGAGTTGGAGCTGGCCCACACCCTGCAAAGCAACGAAGCGGCTCTCTTCCGCATGATGACATAAAAATCATCAATATGCATCTGTGTAAACTTGCTTGATGCACTGCAGAAACGGGGCAGCCCCAACAACACTCTGACAGCATTATTATATTGAATACGCAGCGCACCGAGGGCCCGCTGCGTACGGATGGTCCAAAGGCTGCACGTGTAGAATACTTTACTGAAAGAAGACATCATATGATGATGATGACTATTTATGTCTATTTTTTGATTACAAATGGCGACCCAGTAACTGAGAATAAATGATTTTATAGTATTACGAATGAAAAGTGTTGCCGTGGAATTTGTGAATTTTATCTTGAACTATCTGTGTTCTTTTGAAAAGCATCGAAGGCATTGTTTTATCTTTAAAACACAGAATATACGCAATTTTGGTATATTGAGATGCACATGCATCGTGTTTGGATGTCAAATTGTGACTAAAGCGAATTGTGTTCATGCACCGCAATTTAAGCGGTACACTTTTGTGCCACGAGTGCCGTATCTTCCCTTTTCGTTTTAAACTATGTAGGTTTTAATTATATAAAATACAAAATACTTGTAACTGTAACAATAGTGAAATACCAACTTATTTCATTAATCTGATAATGTTTTTTTATAGTTATTGGTGGAGTGTGATTTACTAACGAGGCTCATGGATGCTTATGAAGAGAATGAAAATCCAAAGTGAGTTGTTATAAGTTTATGGATTTTTTTGTTATTCAATTCAATTCAAAATATCTTTATTCAATTAGGAAGCATTATACAATTCTTTTGAATCGTCCATTTCTTTTTCCTACCGCCCGTTAAAGATTTTTTTTTGCTGTGGAGAAAAACAGCGTCACATACATGATTATGTAACAATATTTTCAAAATATTATATTGTTACAGTGTCAATTACAAAATTAGGTCATCTTTGTGTTAGTTATAGATATAACCTTTGGAACAGTTTAAACCCAAGCACTTTTGTCTTAAATATAATCACACTTTAAAATAGTGCCGCGGTAGCATAATGGTCAGTACATTTGCCCGGATAGCGAAGGATATCTAGCGGGTTCGAGTCCCTTTTCCAAGGGCGCTTGGGTCCGGGCAGTGACAGGTGAGTTGAACTCTCAACTGGCATTATAATTTCGAACTCCATCCTGATACCTAACAATATTCATATCCTACTCAACGAGCCCTAGAGAATGACGTATTACGTGTATGAGACCCCTCCATTTAAAATAATGATATTGAATTTTGAACTAAAAATTCAGCTTTGTTCTGCAACTCATTTCGCTTACGATCTCCACGTAGACCCGTGGCATACAGACAGACGACAGAATGTCAGCAATAGAGCTTCGTTTTTACCCTTTGTGGACGGATCCCTAAATCTATATCATCGAAATCGGCCCATAAATGTGCGAACAACAATTTATATACAATAATTCGGCTACCCATTCATGGGGTAAGATAATATTAAACGGAAAGCCTAACCAATCCCATGACCGGTGTGTTGATTCCATTTTTTTTGCCCCGCCCATTTGATCGCAGTTTTCGTGGAACCACTTTTTAGAGCAGTTTTTTTTTTCATATTATTTTTAATTTGTCGGTTCTCATCCCCATCGACGTATTACCGTTGTCCCCAGAGAGGGTCGTCCCCGCGCGGGGTACATGGGCCACGTGGTGGGGATGCTGCGATGCGTGCAACCCTTACTGGAAGACGGGGGGGATCTCCTCCCCTCCTTGCCCGATGTGACCGTACAGCGGTACAAGGATCTCTTCGCGCGGTCATTGCTGCCCCTGCTGCAGAGATTGGACACGCCACTAGTATGTATACAATATTATTGATGTGTTACATCTTTCCTCTCAGTTTCCTGCAATTTGTGGGAGTGATTTCGTGAAATGGGACGGAAGTGTGTAACAGGAAGTCGCGAAAGCGCGCGCTATTTGATTGTAGAAAATGATGTTCAAATGGCTGAATTTGACAGTATGAAAAATAATGTACTAATTGTTGGTATCGGTATTTATTAAGAATATTAGCAGCGATTTTACTATTATGAATCAGCTAATAATTAAAAACTTTTCTATAAAATCATTCAATAGAAATCACTTTTTTGCTCCATGATCATGTGACCGACCGAACGTGACCATCTGGGATTGGCCAAAACTAAAATGTCGTCACGTGGTAGTAAACATCCGGCTAAAGTGACATTACTTTGTTTTACAAATTTAATTTCATAAATTGTGTATTATGGAATTCTGTATTGATAGATTTTCAATATGTAAACACCTCTCTGAAGTCATCAGTTTTTAAATGCCATATTATACAACAGAATAAAATCTAAATATGTCACATTACCTGTTTCTCATAAAATTATTTACTTTCAGGGCGGGTACTACCCTTCGGAGAACACTTATGAGGTGAGTTTTGAAATTGATGATTTATTTTCACATAAATGGCATTTTGTTTAAATAAATCTGGAAATGACTGATGGTTTTTTGTATCCAGTTTAACGAAAGGATGGAAGATGTGCCCGCAGACATTTACCCAGATGAAAATAACGAGGTAATCATTCATATATATATATATTTATTTTTAAGTCGTATTCGATCTTATTCGGGGACACGGTGGTGGCGCTGCCAACTCGACTAAAAAAGCACAATGAAAGACACAACTGAAGGCTTTTATCGAAACCAGTCAGGCCATTTCCGACCCTTCGTACTATTTGGATGTGTATGCAAGTTCTCTTATTGAATCTCAGTTCTATAAAGGCTAAGATGGTAAGTGTAATGCGGGCGCCAGGTAGCAGCACTGTAGCGAAAGGTCTACTCATCCGTCAAATCGCGTATGCCGTCATAGTCTATGGCTCAATTTAAATGCTAGTTAGATTAATTCGCACCAACAACTTCATACAGTAACCTTAGCGCGAACCAATATTGAAATATAATTAGAATAGTTGAATTCGATCACGATACGCGTGAAGTGTCAAGAAGTTTTGTATGGAAACTTGAACAGCGCCACAACGGGCGTAACGAGAATTAAAAATCTTCCATACAAAAGTTCTCATGCCACAGTCCAGTTTCACAATCCCGGTGGGGGCAAGTGTCAGTATGATGTTTATATATAAATATATACTTTTAAATGTATCAAATATATATACAGGCTGTAAAAAATCCTATGACAAAGACTAAAACTACGCATTCTTTTCACCCAAACAAGTAATATTACAAAATATTATATGTGGGAAAAATTTGTATTTTTAAGTTAAAAAATACATTTTTTTACCAGTACGCAATGTATAGCGCGCTGCGCTACTGTGGCACTGCGCAAAGAATGTGAAAAAGTTTCTAAATAACGTTTTGAAAATATTTATGTAAAAATCTTGAAAAGAAATTGTGGCTTTGCCCTTCAGTATCTCCATAACCATAAATTTCCCAGTTATGGTAAAGAAGAAACAAAAATATCGTCATGATGTGGAAAATACGTGGTCTTCGACTTCGTAAAAGGATTTTTTACACCCTTTATGTATTCTATCCTTTACCCTTGCTTCCCATAAATCAAGCGTTACAGTGCTTACTTTGAGTCTAGGATAAATAGTGTGTGTGTTGGAAATATTATTATTATTGAAATATGTTTGTTTTCAGTTTAACGAAGCGGCAACGGCCGGAATTGAGGACGTGCCCGCTGACGACGTTAACGCGGTAAATATAATAAATATTGACGAGTACTTCTTTTTGATATGAAAAAATGCGATAGTGTGTCTGTTTGTCTGTTACCTCTGAACCGATTTAGGGTAAATTGGGTATTTTAAGCTCAAGTGTGCAAATTATAAAGTCCAAAACATTATTGATATTTAGATGTGTTTTAAAAAAAATACCTGCCAAATGTTAACTTACTTTAGCTTTGGGATGAACACGAACACGTAACTCATATCTTTTAGTAAGAAGCCTTAATTGATAATTGTGTACATTTGTTTAAAGTTGGAGAGTAAGAACGAGTTCTTGGAGCTGGCGAGTCGCCGGTTCGATGACGAGTGAGTATAGAGATTAAGAAATAAAACTTTAGCTGTTAGCATGTGGATTAGACATTATTTGGAAGCATTACTTTCTAACAAACTCGCCATTAACCGCGCCAGCATAATGATCAGTGCATCTGCCGTGTCGAATTTTCTGTAGTATTTCTTAGGCTGCAAACCAGCGCCATCTCTTCGCATTGTAGGTAACCCGTAATGTCAAATGAATACATTTAACAAGTATTAAATATTTGAAAGAAGAAATAGCAATTATAGTTCTTTTTTTTCATTTTCGATCAGATTTAAACATCTAGCAGTTACATATTTAAAATTATTATAAAATGTAAGTGTTTAAATTAGTAAGATTGTCAATATTTATGTAACTTTTGAGTGTTTGTTTATTGCATTTGAACTTTCATAAACAATTTGCCTTAAATGAAACAATGGAAATCCTGTCTGATGACTGGACCGCGTGTTTTTCTTTTGTAAAATTTTCTTTAGATAGATTATATATATATTTTCTTTAGATATTAGATTTGCTAATTGCTAGCAATGGACAAGAAATCTGCAAAATTTGGTCACTAGGGGCGCTGTAATCGCTTGACACAAAACCTCTATTAAATCATACCTATAAGCTTATATTCATTTTTAAGCTTTTTATTAAACACATTACAAATGCCGCATTGTGCAGTACTTGGTTGTTGTAAGAAAACTGCATGCCTAACGACTAAAATATAGTTTTATATGTTTCTTTAAAAGGGGAGGTAAAACTGAGCTACTGTTTACATCATGGTATGTATCTGGGGCAGGTAATTGCATCTGGATGTCTTCAATATGATCAGAAAAAAATGCACCTAAAAACAAAATTGCGGTCTTATGCCTGAAGACTGTAAAAAAACCTAATGTTATCCTTCCCATTTTAGCCCGAGGGAACCTAACTCTATGAGATGTCTGACTGATGCAAAAATAAGATAGATTTGACTAATGAGCCCGCTAAAAGTTACTGAGATCCATGAATTATTAAAATAATCATGGAAAATGCATCTATATACCGATAATGAGCATTCTAGCATAATAATAGAAAGAGTACCTTTCTACAAGATCAGCTTTTCTGCCTTGCACAGATGCTCCTCCTCTTTTCAACTCTCTTTTCAGCTATATTACAGACCATGTTGAATACATTTTCACTACTTATTTAATATATTTAACAATAAAAAAAAACATGTTCAAAATTTGACAGCTGCAACATTCGGCTGTTGTTTGGGTCAAGCGTTTGCAGCGCCATCTATGTCGAACTTTGCGTATACTTCTCCATTGGATGCTTGAAATAAAAAAAAAACGAGCGAGCCTTACAGTAGTCTTAAATCTCGTACTCTACGTAGTCTCGTGTGATGTGTAACAATTGAAACCTCACCTTATATTAGTAAAAAAAGAAATAAAACGTACAACAAAAGGAATAAGATATTTGAACATTATTTTCTGAAATCAAATCAAATAGCGCCCGCTTTCTCGACTTCCTGTTACACACTTCCGTCCCATTTCACGAAATCACTTCCACAAATTGCAGGAAAGCGAAAGCAAAGATGATGTTACACATCAATAAAGAAAGTGATTACTAAACTAGTGTTTTGTCGCAGTATGTGGGAAGATTCACCGGCTGAAGATAGGGATGATGACAACATAGAAGACTCGGCCAAAGAACAAGTGCGGGAGGTGCTATCGCAACCCTCGCGTGAGTATACTTTCATTTCATGTTGCTTTATATTAAATAATAACTTTTTATTAAAGTGGAACTTCTTTTCGGACGTACGTACGTTTCGGGTGTAAATGGAAAAATCCTAAGGGAGAGATGAAACGAAAATTTGTTTAAATTGTATTCTTGTGTAAATTAGATGTGCTTTGATAATAATCCGAATGCATCAAATATATAAATGACATTAATTGTCCACTTATACCATATAAATAATTCATTTAAACATTTAAATTTATGGCAACTCAAATAATATATTATAGTAAATATGCATCACTAAATTAATAACAATAAGCTACGGTGATCATAAAAAGATGTGCTCTGATTGGCAAAAGCTTGAATATATTCAATTATAACAAAATGTTTGTTATAACAAAATAATATATTGCAAGCTCATCTAAATACATGTAAAATAACTCAAAGGATTGGCTATAAATCTGTGTACCAACACGATTAAATGTCAATGCCATATACATAGTAACAATGTGTCTAGATCAGTCACGTGATTTTTTATACAATCAATCACAATCAACGATATAAATTTAAATCAATAGTATTAGCTGTCGTCTGTCAGTCAATAACAAATTGCGACTATGTTTCTTTACACGCAGATTCTCTATTTTAATTAAGATTTTTACCTTATTCTATTGAATTTATTGAGATTTTGATGAGTGAGGCTTTAAGTATAATTTTATATGGTTTTTTAAGAATAATTTGTACCAGGGTACAAAATTAGGCAAAAAGTCTTTTTTGACAGCTTTGTATGCTAGTGCGTAAAATGGCCACTTAGATAAACGTCATTATTGACAAATTAAAGTAATTTTTTGCGTTTTTGATTTTTCCGATTTGACTTTAAAGGACTCGTTCTTCGTTGGGTTTCTTTACGTCAAATCCGATATTTCATCTTGTTATATCACGTTCTGGATTCGACCACTTCCTATTAAGCCTAGTTCTTGTTTAGACCATTTCTGCTTTTGATCATTTCCTTTTTTGACTACTTTTATAATGGTGTGTAAAAATATACATTTTTTTTGTGTCCATGTGAACGTAGCGTAAATCAATAAAATCAATTCAAAATATCTTTATTCAAATAGGAAGCATTATTTTTTTATTTACATAACTGCAGAGATTCTTATATAAATTATTTATTTTCAACGGAAACAGTCATATTACGAAGAAGTCTTAAGCAGAAGTGGTCCAAACCAAAAATGAATTCCAAACGTTAAATTCATGATATTTCATCCGATATCGCCATTTTTGACCTAAACGCTACTTAGAGAGACTATTCGTACGTTATGTGAACGCATCTCTTGGGCCATTTTAGCGAAAGCATTTTTTGAAAACTGTCGAAGGAGAACGCATGATGTTTTGAAGTGAGAAGTTAATTGGATACAATATTACAGCGTGGGATTCCGGGTTCGGGCGGGGCGGGCAGGGGTCGGGCGGGGCCGAGGCTGGGGGCGGGGCCGGAGGGGGGGCCGGCGGGGGGGCCGCAGGGGGGGCCGGGGGCGGGGAGGGGTGGGCGCAGTTCGAGCCCGCCTGCTACTGGCCCTACCAAGCAGGTATGTACACCACACGCATGCCCTGTGGGGATCGTCTAATCTAAAATTAAACTTTTCTCCGGTCTTCCTTACTTTTATGAGTCATCGAAGCGCGCTGCCACCTTCGCGTCTGTTTGACGACTGAATCTTCTGCACTAACATGACTGTAGCTGATTTGAGTGCGTTGCATCTGTACACTGATTGTGCATGTAAGAGTAAGACGATGGAAGGGAGTTCAGTTTTAGATAAGACGATCTCTACAGCTATCATCATCATCCGCTTTGGGAGCAAGCGCACATTGAGCCACTAAACACAACTAGTCGCAGCCACCGATCGAATGGAGAGAAATCGAGCCAATTGTAGCTTAGTGACGACCACCCGATTTCTCTCGATTCGATTGGTGGCTGCATCTAGTGGCTGCCACTAAGCTACTAGTGGCTTAGCGGCGACCGCTCAATTTCCTTCGTTTCGAATGGTGGCTGCGTCTAATGGCTCCTACTAAGCTACTTTAATGGCTTAGTGGTGGTCACTCAATTTCCCTCGATTCGATTGGTGCCTGCGTCTAGTGGCTTGAATGAGCCACTAGTGTTCGCAGGCTCAATGTGCGCTTGCTCTTACAGCGGATGATAGCGTAACTTTTTTTTTCGTATATCAAGTAGATTACCAAAAAATAAAGGACACGTGTTTTTTATTTTTTCACATAGGTAATCAAAACATTACAGATATATGAGAATTTGAAAAGTCACGTGACGTCACGTTCTCGTACAACTTTTGCTTAAAAGTGACATCACAAGTCGCCACTCCTAAAGTTTGACGTGCTTTACCTTTAAAAATTTTTTTAGTTGATTGACAAAAGAAAAAATATGTGTCCAATATTTTTTGATAATTTAACTGACGATTAAATAGTGTTTCGTATACTTTATCCCTTTAGTCATCATCGCTATTACGATACCCTACAGAGTCCATCATGTATTTATCTGCTTGAAATTACCACCTTTGTATCTCCATAATAGTATGAAATAAATGTTGAATGTAGTCCCCACTGCTGAGACACAGGCCTTCCCTATGGAGGATGGAATAGGGAGATTGGGCCGCGACCCACTACGCGGGTACTATTGGTGGGTGCTAACGACTGCAGATGCAGCCGGGATCCACGGCTTAACGTGCCTTCAGAAGCACGGAGAAGCGAGATATACTAAGTTTTTGGCCACCCATCCAATGAGCGACCATTGCGAAAGTTGATTAAGTTCCACGATCGTTGGTCGGACGCGCTAACCAGCACCATCGAGTTTTATATTAGTCATGAATGATGATGACAAATTCGACATTAAATATAAAACTTTCAGAAAACTCATCCCAAGAGGACTTAGAGCAGAACATGCGCAATCTACAGCTAGAGAACGAGTTCGAGAAGTTGGACGGATCTAGCGTTGAGTTAGCGAATAAACTACTTACCGCTATGAGTGCAATGCCACCCCATCTCGTCGCCCGACTAGTGCCGTCCCTTCACCAAGATGATCAGGATAATCCAGTGAGTCCATCTAAACAACCTCTAGGTGGAGACAAACGTGACCCTTTCGAAGATAACGATATCACGTTCCCCACTGATGAAATCAGGAAACCGGAAGCAGAAACAAAACCGAGCATCGAACCCCAACAACGATCAGAAAATCCACACCAGGAGGATCCTGATAATCCAGTGAGTCACGCTAAAGAAACTTTGGCTGAAGACAAACCAAACCCTTTCGAGAACGACGAAACCAGTGACGGCAGAAACCAGAACGACTCGAAGCAAACCGAAACGGAAGTAAAACAAATCGAAACGGAAGCAAATCCAACCGAAACTGTAACAAAACTAACCGAAACTGAGGCTAAAACGAGCATCGAACCTGAACAACTATCGAATAACCCTCCAAGCGATAATCCCACAGTGACAGACACACAGGAATCGTCCAATAACGAACCAGAGTGTTCCGACGCTCAGAGATGATTGATCGTCGTCCTCTGAACATGCCCCGTCCTTGTCTAGCGCCGCGCGAGCGAGCGAGACGCCGAGAGGGCTCGTACTGTACATTCGTAACCATTCGCACGTTCATTGTTGACATCGTTTTTGTTATTACTATGTATATATATAAAAAAAAGAAATCGTCAAAATAAACTGAAATGACTCGTCTTCGTATTCAAATTTTGAAAAGTACAGAGTGGAATAGAAACCAGTCGACAAAGGAGACGGTTCAAAAGCGGTAGTCTGTTTCCGGCAGCGATGAATCATATATCATTTGAAAGCTTCTTTTATGTTATAATAATTATGAACAGATAAATATATTTTTGAAGTGAAATTCTTTACGCACGCTTGACTTGGGCGATAAGCTGACGAATGCGTTACGCGTTACGAAAAGTGTGTTCGGGCGAGGTGAACGGGAGTTGAGTGGGGGATATAGAGAGAGAAAGCAGTGCACGCGCACATTTTCTTTCTCTCTTTCTCTTATAGCTAGTAAATGAAATATGTATATGTACATGCAGTTATATATTATATACACACACACACACATATATATATATATAAGTATATATACACAGATGGAGCTAAAGAAGTTTCACTTCAGTCGTGTGGTCATAAGCACACTCGTTTGTTTTGTTATATCTGATTAATTTTAAATCATATTTTAAAATTTAATAATTTCGTTAGGATGCTGGCCACCCTACCATAAGTACATTTTTATCATTTTTATTCCAGTTTTTTGACGTCAACTCAATCACTGTAAGATGTCAATCAGTCCAGTCATACCCATAGAGGTATAAGAATGGAGTAGGGAAGGCGGCTCTAAATGTGTCCGTCTAGTAGAAAGAGAAAGAAGATGAGAGACCACTAGCTATCTCGCTCTCTTGTGACGCACGCGCAGTCCAATAGTTGGTCCAAGCATCACATCGAAATAGTAAGATGCTTACGGTTGCCAATGCGCATGCGCGATTAGAGAGAGAAAGCTAGCTGTCTCTCATCTTCTTTCTTTTTCTATTAGAGGGACACTTCCACTTGTAGTAAAGTCTATATCTATACTCTGTTCTTATACCTCTATGGTCATACCCGATATTCGTGAAAGAGTAGTGAAATTGTTGGACCAATTTTTGATTGATTGTTCTTTAAATTCAATACCCACAAAATACCAATAGTGTGAGATGAAGGGAATCATTATCACTGCTTTAGTTACCTATGAATAGAATATAATATTTGACGCTTTAGCAACAAACATTACATAAATAAACTTGCCAATTGCCAATCAATAACTATGCCATTTCAAATAATCATAATTATAAAAAAACGGGGATAAAATAAAATCTAGTTTTTGTCAAACTATTTACAATTATGTATACCATATGTCATAAAAATTCGGAGTTTGCCGGAGACTGACTCCCACTGACCACCATACACATTTGAACCGTGTCCCTTTCAGTAGATTAGTATATACTTGTAGATTTTATTTTATAACTTCACTTTAAAAAACCGTTACATTTTAATTATATCTTAATGGGGTAAATACATGGTTTTCGTACAAAAATCAAGTCATTCATCACTCATGGGGTTCATGCAAAAACAATTGTCGTATATATTCAGTATCATCTTGTAGATTTGGTGGACGTTATGTTTGTTATCTATGTTTTATTCGGTGAAATTACTGATATAATAATTACAAGATATATTGTTCGTCGGTAGGTACATATCGTCCTGCCGGTGGGATACGGGTACATTTTAAAAACTTGAACAAATCCTAAATTAATAAAAAGTTATTCGAGTGTTAAACAAGAGTTTAAAAACCAAGCATAATATGTATAAATAATAATCATAATATGTATAAACTTTCAAATCAATTTTGTAACTCTTAAACCATTTTGCACGAAAATTTTCAAGTATCGTTCCCTCCAATCAAGTTGCAAATGATTTTATTAACAGTATGACGATATTTTCAAGTACCAATGTCTAAAATTACTTTTTTATTACTTAAGTAAAATTATAAATATATCGTCAATAAACAGGTTCCAAATTTCGTAATGAAAATCAATTTAATAATAAAAGTTAACGCAACTGCAATATTATTTATACACGTCTTACTTAAACTTCAATACAAATACGGAGAAGAGTTTCAAAAATATCGTTAATATAAAACTAGTTTTTACGGGTTAATGCACGAAACTTTATTTATTTATTGACGTTTCGTAGCCTTTACAGGCTACGTCGTCGGAATCAAATTTTTATTTAATTTTGTCGAGCTACCTTCGAAAGACTTTTATTGAGCGTTCGGTTATTTCATTGTTCGATTTTAAAGTTTTATTGTCTATGTATGAATTTATTACTTAATTTTAGTTAATAAAGTATTTTATTTAAAATTCTATTTTGAAATTTTGAGTTTATTTATTTGACCCTAACTACCGTAAACTACCACCGGTTCCAAAATTGGGAGACCTTTCTGAGAAGAACCGGCGAAACAAACTCAAGAGAGGCTTTCTATCTCCTTCTTATGTTAAATTATGCAAACAAAAAGAACTAATAGTATCTGTTGGTCTTGCAGTGTGCGCTCGGGGTTGGGATTTTATCTCCTGTATAATGGGTTCTCAAGCTGGTGGTATATACCAACCATCTTCCCTATAAACTATATAATAAACTCAAAATTACAAAATAGAATTTTAAATAAAATACTTTATTAACTAAATTAAGTAATAAATTCATACATAGACAATAAAGCTTGAAAAATCGAACAATGAAATAACCGAACGCTCAATAAAAGTCTTTCGAAGGTAGCTCGACAAAATTAAATAAAAATTTGATTCCGACGACAATAAAGTTTCGTATAAATAAATAAAGTTTCGTGCATTAACCCGTAAAAACTAGTTTTATTTAATGAGTGATGTGCGTGAATAACCTAAGAAACAAATATATCGTTAATATATTTTGATATTTTTCTACGAAATGTTCAAGTGCACTCACTCGTCTTTTCATAAAACCTTATGTTTCGGGCGGATGACGTTGCGTCGCCTACAATACAATATTATGCTCCGTGCCAGTTAATTTATCTTATAGTAGAAACCTTTATATTATATCCGTTGATAAGATATCTTTATCTCTATGCAAAAACACTGTTCCAAGCATGACGTTATACTGGATATAATATTGTAAATGACATTGGGTTATATTTTTGTTGTAAGAATAACTTAGTGTCACATTGCATAAATAAAAATGAGAACTTAATAATACTATAGGTAGTGTGAGGTGACATTTCCACGCGACCCCGAAGACACCAAGCCATAATCGAAAGCATTTCAATTAATAAATAAATAGTTATTAGTGCGAAAATATTTAGGGCGATCCGATCGAACTTTGTTTAAAACTGAATATATCTTATTATTATTACTGTAAATTAAGTTATCGGAAGAAGGAGTTAACTGAGTATTAATATAAGACAACGCAATTATTTCATTCCTTTTCCTTTGAAAATTAGTGCAATATTTGTTGAGGCGAAGACGCTCGCGACAGCTCATTTGAAAAATGTTTGTATTAAAAAAACAATACTTCAGGTAGTTTGGTATTACATATGGGTCATAGGTGATCTTGGTGGATAGTCCAGTAAGCCTATCGCTTTACAAAGTTAGCTGTTGAGCTGACTATACAATAGGTGTTTTATAACTTGTTTACAAAACCTCGGGTTCGTTAAATATATAACAAATTGTTACACTCAAAGAGAGTGTTCGGCCTCTGAGAGTTAATTTCTGTTTGATATAAGAATTTTAGCAGTAAATCTCGGAGTATGCAAAATCCGTAATGTAGGCCAATAAATGAAGGCTTTTGCGGTCGCAAGCGCAATACGTAGCGATATCGTTTTATATAGGGGCGATAAAAGGAAGTCACACAAATATTTCAGTGTTGATACACTGCGGCTTTATAATGTAACTCGATACGGGTTTCGGACATTGCACCATTTAAATGTTCCGATGTAAAGTTGTTATTTCGTTGCGTCGAGTTGTCTTCGCCATATAATGTAAGTATTGTTTAGGCACTTAATTACTCGCTGCACCTAGCGTAAGTCACTAATTGTCTCACACAATAACTAACCGCCATTAAACGTTATTCATCGCGTTATAACTTGACTTGAATGTAAATAGTTATGAACTGTATGTATTTTAATGGACGGCATCTGGGAAGCTTGTAATGGGCTCTGACTGTTACCTCTTACGTTGAGTTTGGATGTAAAATAGTATAATGTAATGAATTTATTATAGAACTGTTTTCCATACTCACAGTGATGTGTTCCAATAAATATTCGGGAATTTTCTACCGACCCTTATCACAAATACGTATGGTACAAATTCGCTTGTGTTCTCCCGAACACGCTTGTTCGTCTGTTGTCAATACAAATTAGACTTTATTCAGTGTAGATGTGGTTCATTATGTACACGATTTCTTCCCTTCGGGAGCCATTTGATTTGCGAATTTGTCTTCTCTGTTTACAATCGAAGTATTACTTAACTCCAAACTGCCCACGCAACATTATTGCTTTTTTTATCAATAATCTTTATCAAACATTACATAAAAAAACATTGCGTTTTGTTGTTTACGAGCGCTCAGCACGCCCGGTGCCCCCTTAATAGTAAAAAAATGCACTTTGTTTTTAGTAATAATAATCTTTATTTGCAAAAATCATGGTATATAGATATTTATACCGTTGTACTGCGATATGCAATTAACCTTATAATAATTCAGACTGATCAATTGTATTCTGCAATGTCATAATGTATATGTCATAGCAAACTTGCACTCATAATGAGTAGCTAACTTATTTAATGCGAGACTACCTAATTTATATTTTGTGTATCTAAATCTAAGCTATCCGCAGAGGCAATTGTGGTTAAAACTGCAAAAATATTGAACAATAATGTTATTTTTATTACTGAGTAAGTATCAAATCGTTATGATTGGTTTATTTAAACAAATATGTGTTAATACACATATAATTATTTTTGAGCCGCTGTCCCTCCGCGTTTCTTTTCACATTTATTCTGTTATTTTTAATAATGTAACTTAATTATTACATAATATATTAAAAGATAAATACTACATCGACGTGTTCAATTCAAATTGAAATCGTGGAGGCTGCGATATCGCCTTGGCTACATTATTGCGTAGAGATTCTATTCAATGTCGGTTCAAATTCTTCACACACTGATCGTAGGCTAACTTCAGATCATATTTCGGAATAGCCGCGTTAGAACGAGACACCATATCGTAATATAATATCAGCTGACATATCCGTAGTTGCAACGTTGGTCGATTTGAGATCAGATCCTGTTATTTGTCATCAATATGACAATATTTCAATATTCGGTTACTTTTTTTTTACTTTAGTAGATTTTTTTTAAGATAAATATTGCCCGTCGCTATACTCTGTATTTATTAGAAGTGCAATTGTTACTCTAGTGGCGAAAGCATTGTACGCAGTATAAAGTTACATTTCTGCTAAATCATACTGGTCATTGTTAAGTAACCGCAAACCCTTTGAAATCGCCATTAAGGAAGATCCTCCTGTACCCGTTTTTGCCGCACAAACCGAGCAAAGCATCCGATTGAAAGATTCAGTTAGCCAGCCTTATATGAAATTCCTGCTGGTTATCCCATTTGATTTGTTGCATTCGTTTTCGGTTATTATAAGTGCCAAATCGTTTACACAAAATGAATTTAAAAGCCCAGATTTAACTGTACAAAGATTTATTGTTCTATGATTTACGTTAGACATTTTATTCGTTCACGTGTTTTGCATGTAATGGATTCAGCACGTCGTATGAATTAGTAGCACCGTAAAGGAGCACTCACATCTAGACGCGATCTTTGTTTTTGTCTGTCAGTCTATCTATCTCTTTCTGTCATGTAAAAGCATTATTCATCATGTAAAACAGAACGTATTTTGAAACTTCTCTCGCTCTAGAGCACGATACATCTCATGAGTGCATTATAGATAGATTGAGATTGAAAAATGTGTTTTGGGTATCTCCCCAGACCGATGAAGTTGCTTACCGAGTCGGACATATTCACATTTCAACATATTCCCTATACATATTGTGCATTCATATCGTAACGTTTAATTTTGTAAATGTGTACAAATGTTCGCGTGCAGATGAACTTAATAATTTTTCCACAGAACGAATAGTAGTCGTTAGGACGATACTTAATTTTAATGGCCGCGCATCGATTAGTGTTTAGTGGTTCGATTAATCGTCGTTTCGTTAAAGTGGACGAAGTGTTATGGAACGTGGCCGGCCTGGAGGCGCGCCGCGAACCTTTTATACATACATATGTATTAAATATATATAGTTAAATAATGTCCCGCATACTGATTTCATCGACGCCTTGAGTTCTCGTCAAGACTGAAGGTCGTAGCAGATATATCAACTCGGAAGATTGTCACCGTATCAACTTGAGTTTCTTTGTATGAAACTCTCTACAGCGAAACACAAACTTGCCCCGAGGCGAAGCGATTACGTTACGATTGGAGTGCGATGCAGTAGGGAGTTTAAAGAATACCTTTGAGTTGATTCGTATGCTACGACCTTGACCTGTACTTTATATAGGCGCGGTGCCATCAGACGGGTGCTAGCCGAAGTATCATTAGGGTATTCATCGCGTAACCACTTTAAAAATTGTTTCTTGTAACAAGGCAGTTTTAAATGAAGCGTAAGTTTAACACAGCGTAGTATTTCTTGTAATAAAATTTGAAAAATAAATAATTTCATTTGAGCACATTGATTTTAATAGGAATATTTAAAATCGCACTGCAAAGAAAGTAAACACAACATGTATTAGAATTTTTCTTTTGCTGATTTTCATGCATAACGCGAAAAAAGTAGTCAAAGTAGCCCATATACAAACTATGGTCCTTTTCATTGGCTCGAAGGGTGGTTACGCGACGCTGACCCGATGGTACGCGCATAATCGTAGCTGGGTGTTGGCGTCGTTCGCGACCTAGGCGTCGGCTACAGGAGGGTAGATGGAGTCGTAGCGTTGGCACCAGTGCCAGGGGAGGACGCATGGGCGGGATCATAAGACTTAAGTGTATGTTAAGCAGCTATAAGCTGACCTGAAAGGGGTAAAACTCGAGCGCGACGTACGCCGCTCATTTATGATTCATTTATCATTCCTCGTAACTCCGCTATTGGAAATACTGTTCTTCTATTTATACAAATGCAACGTTTTATACAATGATCCTTATTATAAACGTAGTTGGGTTCTAATTAGAATACTTCCCTGATATGCGGCAAGATTTTTGTAACTCTCATTGGACCAAGTCGCAAGCTGTTGATGTATCCGAACACAAGTGGCGTACGGCAGCAGCCTGCCCCGTGGAGCCCTGGGGCTCCCTAAACTAAGTATTTATAGTTCTTAGAGCATTTAAAGCTGTGAACTTTTACCTTTGTATTAGTGCAATTAGTTGACACCTCGTGTTGTTGACAAATTTGTTTGTGTAATGTTTCTGCGGCGCCGATTCTGGAGTTGCCACTTATATCGCATTATATAGTAATTGTAAGAAAATCATTTTATATTAATGATAATCTATTTTAAAAATCAATGTTTTGCAGATTTCCTTTTGTCGGGTTTAAGTGGCAGCTGTGAAATACGCGTCGATTTGGTAAATTACTGTGGTATGGTACTGTACTCAAGGTGGCAATTAAGACGTGTATAGTAAAAATGACAGTCTAAAATTTACCATTGCAAAATGACTTCTATCTCCGCATGTTAAAGTACAAAATTATTTTGGAGAATTATAAACAATACGCTTTGTTAGATGTTAGAAGTTCACCTGTCATTGGCATCGATTGCGCTCTCATATAGTACTAATCAATTGTAAATAATGAATTGATTCTGCTTAAATAATCTCTATGTACAAGTTCCGGTACCAAATTTTTATATAAAAAATGTTATTTGTATGTATTGTTGCTCGACCGAGGTGCTGTGCGATATGTTGACTCTAGGGGCTGGAAGGCCGATAGCATTGCTTTTACGTCCTCTGTGACTTTGATTAGTATCTAATATTTTAAAAGCTGGTCAGTTGCAGCAAGTGAACTTTATAATAAATAACGCAAGTTGCCGCGTATAGTTTTGCTTGCTGCGAAGTTCACAACCGTTATAAAGTTTTCACGGCACTACTAATAAGTAAATAAGTAAGCCTTTTCTATTTCCTATTACTCTTTCGAGATATTGTAAATTATAACGTACCTTTTATTGTAGCGATTTAACTTAATTCATATTCCTAACGTCACCATTTATTCACCAGCTGCTCCCTGCTGACAAACTGTGGAATTCCTTGCCTGAGCCCTTGTTCCCCGAGCACTACAATCTAGCGGTCTTCAAAGCAAGAGTGTACCGGTTTTTATTAGGTAACCGCGCTCCATCGTAGACCATAATATTGCTTTCCATCAGGCGAATAATGGTTAAGCGCTTACCTATTACCGAATAAAAAAAAAAAAGTCATTAAACTGCCACAAGATGTTGGTCGCACTGTATAGCTTGCATTTATGTTCAACTCTTGTGGTGGTCAAGGGTACATCAGCAGGCGAGACCTTGCTTCTTAGGATAACTTTGATAACTTGGAAGAGTTCGTACTCGTATGGTTATATCTGGTACCAGACCAGGGTGGAAATTTTGTAATTGTGTTTTGTTAAGCTCAGTACCCCAGACATCGTACAGCGCCCTCGGTTCGAGTTAGTTAGCAGTGTAACTGTTGGATCGCGGGCAAACGCGACTGCCGGGCGCAGTCATGCGACGGCAATATTGCCAAGTCATGTCTTCCAGACATTTTGACGTTTATTAAACATAGTTCTACTAATAGAGCAGAATGGAATGAAATAAGAATTATAGTAAACCCATAAAGAGTTAATTCAAGATTCGCATTTCCAGATACATATAATATTATATATTTTTTAAATCTAAAGAAAATTTAACTAGAAAAAGTTCCATGCGGACAGCAGACGGGGGAAAAAATTATAAAAAAAATGTAAAAAAATTATAATTGTATAATTTGTCAGAAAATGGATATTATATAATTTTAAACAAAGTAAATGAAATAAATTAAATGTTTTTTTTCTCATGCTGTTACATCAGTAGAACCAAATGGAATAGTTTGATTGGATACATACACGCGTTTGCCCTGGGTCTGCCACAATTGTACTTTTATATGGTATTCTATTGATAGGAGGTGTACTAGTGAAATATATTAGCGTTTTTGTATCAGTCAAGTGTGATAGAACTTGTGATCCTTTATACGCTGTACCGGTGTCGCTTCCTTCTTCCAACGCAGTGTGTGTTGTACAGGACTTTATGTGATAAATTTGTATATGCCAGAGTATAGTAGGTATACTTACGCCATCGTCCGTCTTGCATCGATTTTATTTGGAAATATCCGTACCTGTAAGGTCACGACACTAGATACATGTTCGCTGTGAATGTCAATCTTATTCCGTCGCAATAGAGGCGCTGTCGGTGTATAGGTGTGTCCACTGACGTGGTGTTGATTGTACGGGCTAAGTATGTACGCATTGCAAAAGTTATTGTGTCCGTTTGACGATTTGTGAAAACGAATTGATTATAAGCCAAACTCTGCTGTCCTAAGTGTTCTTTATGTTGGTGTTGGGTTTCGTAGAATTATGTAAGCCAATTTTTACCTGTTACTGTGCCGAAAATACTTATTAATATGTTTTTAAGGTCCACTTATAGCAAATTTAAAAATGTCGATTCAACCAAAACTAGATTTAACCCATAGAGAAATGTAAAAAAGTCAATGTCAATTTTACCTTTTTTCGTATTATCACCTTATATCTCTTAAGTTATAAAGGCTAAGTTTTTTATAAATGGTTATTTAACTGAAGAAAGAACAAATAAGACCACTATAAAAAGTAAAGTATAGATTTTTGTGTAAATCTATTTCTGATTTAGACATAACTTTGTAGTTTCCTCGAACAGCAAAGTATGGTCAGGCCATGTCAATGGATACACCAGCACCTTGTAATACAGTCGTTGTTGCTACTCAATAAATATACTGTCAATGTATCCGCCATCGTGGCTTCTGTCATTTATCACCGTTGTGTTGTAGCTGAAGATGTCTATGTCAATTTACTATGTTAGAATCTATGTAATATTAACAGACGTCATCGGATATATTGGTAGCGGACAAACATAAATAATATCTATATATTTTTTTATAAGTTTAGTAGCAGCTAAAAATATTAATAAATGCTAATACAACTAAAATATAATGTTGAATAAAATCAAAGACGATTGTGTGCAACGAAATACCGACCATAATGAAGTTTTCTTTTATATTATCGCCAGAAACTTTTGAATTGCGTCTATACTCCCGAACTCATCTATAGAGGGTGTTACAAAAATACAAATAAATTTGAAGGCCGTTGAAGTACATCATATAAGGAGTCTTCTCTAATTTTCTTAAAATATTTGCATGCAGTTTTAACTTTTTATAAAAACAGTTATTTTTAATGATCCTCGAACTAGTGACGTATCTTAAAAAGATCGATATTTTTATTAATCATTAAAAATAACTGTTTTTATAAAAAAATAAAATTCATGCAAATATTTAAAAAAAATTAGAGAAGACTCCTTGATGTACTTCAATGTCCTTCAAGCTTTATTTGTATTTTTGTAACACCCTGTATGTAGGCCCACTTAGCATTTTAAGTTTTGACCTATATGGTTTTGACGGTATCTAGTTAACAATAAATATTACATTGAGCAAAAAGTTTTTACACAGTTTTGAAGCTGATTTATTAACCATTTCGTGCGTTTTTAATAAAATATATTATTATTGCTCAACCTAACCTAATTATATTTTTGCTACAGACCGTTGAAACATATAACACTAAGTGGGCCGATGGATGTACCCGGAAGTGTACTAATTAGATAATAATAATTTGGATTAACGTAATTATGTCAACATAGATACGAAACGTAGTCTATGCCTATATGTTGCACAAAGTCCTTGCTTTAACATATTATAGGTTAAAATTTAATTTCTGAATGGTTCGCTAAGTTTAGAATAGATCGTGTCGTCCGCTACAATATATGCGATGTCCACTGTACCCGCAGCGGCTGCTGTAATTAACTTCACTATGATTGTGATCCGTTCAGCATATTGTATATGTATGTATAGTTTGTATCGGTTTCGAGTTGATATAAGTTGGTACGTATCGTTTTGTAAATACTGTGTGTAGGCGCGCGTAGACGTGAAGTGGGCGGCGCGGGCGCATAATGCCCGCGTCTCAAACGAGAACTGTGCCTTCCGGGCGAACTGGGCCGCGGCATACCTTATCATATATACCTAACTGGCCTCACGTACCCCTGCCGCCTTCGGCCCTTCTCTTCATCATATACGAAAAAAAAATCTTTTTACCAACTGGTTATGGGATAACAGTACTTCCATTTTCATAATTGCTTCAGAAAACCAACCAAGAAAATGGGAAAATATATTTCGTCGGGTCAGCAAAGGATGAGCGTGCGAATCCCGTCTGATGCCTGGACGGAGTTGAATTTTTATATTTATTTGTTTATAATAGTAAAAAAAATCTCTACGTTTATAAAAATAGCAGGTAAATGCTTAAAACTACAAACAAAAAGTTGATATTAACTACTTAAGAAAAAGTTAATTGTAAAAATTTCGTGTTCTAATTGTATTATTTAGGTATAACCAGAATCAATTGGTTAAATCGAGTTCAGAAAATGGAGGAGATTATCGTATTTCATAAGTTGAGAAAAAGAGAATAGAAATTCTTCATTCGTAGATGATTAAGAAAGTGGACCAAAGGCCCTCTATCCCCCCTCAACCCGCACCCCCCTACCCCCTCCTTATACCCAGCCGCGCCCCACCCGCCTGAGACATGATAAATGCTCGTAATTGTATTCTTATTGTATTTATATCATAGTTAAAAAGTTTTATTAAAAAAGTTGCTCAATACATACGTGTTTCACTCATATACATAGTAATCATCCCCTCTCCTGGAATAGGAATTAGAAATGAAAAGGCCGTTTTTAATTTTTTGATATAATTTTATTCTCATAATTTATTTTTATATAATGACTATAATCATCTACCAAACTAAATAATCAATATAATTCAACAGCATCCTTTATATACAATATGTATAGTTAATAGTTTTTTTTTTATATTTAATAATTTCCTCGTTTCCGAACGATTAAAAAAGAGACAGTCGTCTAATCCATACAAAATAATGTTGAAATGAACTACGATCGTTACAGATTAACAAGTAATAATTTGCCACAAGTTTTTCTTATTTATTTACAATTCTTATTATTAATTTAGTCCCATAATTTCCAAATGAATCGTCAGCGTAAAAATGGAACCATCGCCGGTAGTGCGCTGACCGGCGCGCGCGTCGCCTGGCGACCGTCTGAATCTACTAACTTAACGCCGACACGCACCGGCTACCGGCAGCAGTGTGGTCACACTGCCGGCCCGAGCCAACATAAATATCTGATAAACTATGACATTCAATCTGTAAACAACATACGCATACAATTCTTTTAAATACATAATATAATACGGATGCTAGCACTCGCCTACTCTGAACGGAGAACGTGAAAAGCTAACGATAACGAATGGCAGATGGCGCATGGCGAGTCTAACTTCGACTGTGATTCGGAAATGAAAAATCTACCTTAGTCTTTACGTAGAAATGCTAGACGCGTGTCAAAAGTGCGACCGACGCCCGATCTACTAGGCACGCGGTCGGTTGATATATTCGACTGATATGCGGCAACTGCAGACTATCCGTTGCGAGCGAAGTCCACGCTCAGCGTAACAGCTAAAACCCGGTAAACTCCGATAAGAAAATATCCTCCCGTCCTAACTCGACTCTGTACCAAAATAATCTGGTTAAAAACAGCCGCGGAGCGCCGACGGCGCGTCCGCGGTTAAAATCTAAACTAAAACGCTCACCGATCTCGTAACAAGTATTACGTAGGTATCTATAAGACAGCGTTAACACGGTACAAACCTTTGGCATCCGACAATAATAATAATATAGCTTGAGGTACGCTAAGTATAGTGAAACAGAGCTAGCATCTCTATACAAGAGTAAGTATAAAACTCGAAGCGTAGAAGGAGAACGCGGGGCTTGCGTGTGCGCATCCCCACTCACTGCCGTAACCCACTACCTGCCATTAGTCTTGTTCACACAGCATAGGTAGTAGTATAATGAATACGAGTTTGGATTATGAATCTTGTTACAATTACAAAAGGAGGAAGTCTGTAAGCCGGATATATGCCACACTATCCATGCAGTGTGAAGAAGACTACCCACACTGCCGCCACCGACACCTCCAGCCACCCTCGCTACTCGACCCATAATTCACGTTGAAACTTATCAATTATCACAACATCTACCTACTAGCACCCTGTCCAGAAACAAGCAGGATTTTATGCCATATTTAAAGCGTAGAGGGTGATAACTGTTGCAGTTTGGAAACATTTTTTATCACAAATTCGGTAATCAGGTCTGTCCCATACAATTTCTCGAAAGACAGTTTCGTTCTTTCAAAGCATTCACTTCATTAAAATGCAGCAATAATTGTATTTTATAGTTATTCAGTAGGAAAATTTCACTTGAAAAGTGACGGAATTGCATCTGTCTTTTTAAAAGAACGAAGCAGAAAACACACGTGATATACAATACTTATCGTAGGCACTTAGAAAATTTATAAGTAATTATATTTTACTGAGAAGAGTAGGTATGTCAATAATTATTGGGTCTTTTTATTTCTTTAAGTGATATCTGGTAATCGTTTGACAAAAGAATTCTTTATGTTGTGGAGAATAGTAGATACAGGAATGGCAAGCGCAGCAGCGGTGAATTACGTTGTAGCGGCTCGTCTGTGGGCGGCAACTGCGGCGTGCGACAGTCGCGCAACCAGTGCGGTAACAAAAATTATTGTCATCCAATGCTTAAGTTTCCAATCTTTATTATGTAGTTATTATTCACTTAATACTTTACGAGAGACCCGCTACCCTCAGTTCCACTCGCGTTCGGACTACGACAGTTCTGTATGTACCGCCGATCGAAACGCGGTTCCGAAGATTCCATTAGCTTACAAAATACATAACTTTAACACTAGTATTAGATAGGTCACTAAAATAAAAATAGTTATATACAATCTGTCGGTAACGTTCGAGATATTAATTTAAGACATAGTTCGGCGAGTAGTTCTTCACTTATTCTCTAATATTACAAGATCAGGATTCCGTTTTTTTTTCTGTTAAGTTTATCGAATTTCTGTATAGACTTAAATCGTATGTCTGTCAGGACCGGAAAGTTTATTATTAGTGAACAATCAAAGGTCTATCGACATGAGCACACCGGACGACTGATGGGAAAACGATTTCTACATTGTGATAGTGTTAGAGTATTCATCGATACGGCTACGCGACTGGAGTGACCAATTTTAAACTTCGATAAAAAACAGTTCTGTACATTTTGTACAGTTTTTCGTCTAAATAGAACAGCCGGGGACGGCGGCCTGTTTGTTTAAGAAGAATGTTCGCACGCAAAGATGGGGGTGGTTTTCTTCTTAGACTTTGCTTGGTCCTTCGAGTCTTTTGCCCGAATGTTCCACTAGTAGCGTGGAGGTGATCCGGAGACTCGGAGTCTGGGCTACTGGCGTGGGTCAGGCCGCCCCCGGGAAGGAAGAGGCGCCGCGCGTGGAGGTAGCAGCTCACAGTTGGTACCACTTCTTGTCCTTGTATTTGAGCATAAGCTGGTGCGCCGACGACGAAAACTCGCCGGCCTGCGAAGAAAGATTTTATTTATTTATTTATGGTACAGCGACAGAGTACAAATTATAACTTATATATTATTATAGAAAATTATTGTCTATACTTAATATTATAAAGAGGAAAGATTTGTATGTATGTATGTTTGTAACGATCAAATGGCTCAAAAATACTGGACCAATTTTAAAAATTCTTTCACCATTTGAATGTTAAATTATGACTGATTCATATAGGCTATAGTGTATTTTCAAAAAAGTTAGGGTTCCATATGAAAACCTCGATAATGTAACCCATCGTGTGTACAATAATACCAAAAATAGTCTTATATCGCGTACGCTGCGGAAGTCATTGACAATAGAGCGAAGTGATGTTCTTAAGTTATATAGAGGATACCAATATCTACGGGGCTACGCGGGCCACTTCCCCGGGCGCGCACGTTACCTGCGAGTGCATCCGCTCGGCGCGCTCGTCCAGCTGCGACAGCTTGTCGCCGCGCTCCAGCACGAGCTGGTGCGCGCGGGCCACTTCCCCGGGCGCGCACGTTACCTGCGAGTGCATCCGCTCGGCGCGCTCGTCCAGCTGCGACAGCTTGTCGCCGCGCTCCAGCACGAGCTGGTGCGCGCGGGCCACTTCCCCGGGCGCGCACGTTACCTGCGAGTGCATCCGCTCGGCGCGCTCGTCCAGCTGCGACAGCTTGTCGCCGCGCTCCAGCACGAGCTGGTGCGCGCGGGCCACTTCCCCGGGCGCGCACGTTACCTGCGAGTGCATCCGCTCGGCGCGCTCGTCCAGCTGCGACAGCTTGTCGCCGCGCTCCAGCACGAGCTGGTGCGCGCGGGCCACTTCCCCGGGCGCGCACGTTACCTGCGAGTGCATCCGCTCGGCGCGCTCGTCCAGCTGCGACAGCTTGTCGCCGCGCTCCAGCACGAGCTGGTGCGCGCGGGCCACTTCCCCGGGCGCGCACGTTACCTGCGAGTGCATCCGCTCGGCGCGCTCGTCCAGCTGCGACAGCTTGTCGCCGCGCTCCAGCACGAGCTGGTGCGCGCGGGCCACTTCCCCGGGCGCGCACGTTACCTGCGAGTGCATCCGCTCGGCGCGCTCGTCCAGCTGCGACAGCTTGTCGCCGCGCTCCAGCACGAGCTGGTGCGCGCGGGCCACTTCCCCGGGCGCGCACGTTACCTGCGAGTGCATCCGCTCGGCGCGCTCGTCCAGCTGCGACAGCTTGTCGCCGCGCTCCAGCACGAGCTGGTGCGCGCGGGCCACTTCCCCGGGCGCGCACGTTACCTGCGAGTGCATCCGCTCGGCGCGCTCGTCCAGCTGCGACAGCTTGTCGCCGCGCTCCAGCACGAGCTGGTGCGCGCGGGCCACTTCCCCGGGCGCGCACGTTACCTGCGAGTGCATCCGCTCGGCGCGCTCGTCCAGCTGCGACAGCTTGTCGCCGCGCTCCAGCACGAGCTGGTGCGCGCGGGCCACTTCCCCGGCGGCGCTGGTGGCGCGCGCCTCCATCGCGGCCGGCCCCGCCCCCGCCCCCGGGACCCCCGGCACGTGCTTCGCCACCGTGCGGTTGGGCTTGCCGCTGCCCTCGCCGACTGACAATAAACATCATCCGCATGCTCAACGACGTTATACTATACGCTACGGTAAATCGATAAATTAAAAAATAGCTTAAGAAGACAACCAAATAACGAAAACGACATCGACAAATAGATCAAAGATTGGGTATTTATTTAAGTTCATCTAAAATAAAACGAAGCAATACAACTCAAATAACAGCTGGACTAAGCGAAAACTTGATACTAAGTATGATGAGTAGAATATGCTCGCCACCCGCCCTCGCCGACTACGGACAATGGGACGATAATTATCATCGAAAAGTTCAATAAGGATATAAAGGCAGTGATCATATTTATTGGTTTTTATACAGTAAATCATAAAGAACATGATGCCCCATTGAGATCTCAATAGTCGAAGTCGTTTCGGGTTGACACATACAATTCATCGATCAAGTGCAAGATGTTGATGCTGTACGATATATCCTAATTAGTTTAACGCGTTCTTACTCTGTGACTCGCTGCGTAACTGACACACTTTGGATATTAGTTGTGTTTGTAGTTCAAGCAATATATAACAATAATGATATTAAATACCCTAGCTACATGAGCGCTCAAAATGTGTCCCAATCAAGAAGTGCTTCAATACCACTCAAGCACTTCCTGGTTCGCAGTCACTCGCGGACCGTAGAAATGTCAACATACCACAGAGTTCCGTGAAAAATTTAGAAAAATATACTTGTAGTACGTAGTGTCGTTTTTGCGTCAGGTATCTAATCAACGTTAAAATTTTGTTCTACTTAATACTTACTATAAACTGATTTAATAGAAAATATTTGTGATATTCAAATCCACGGACGACTTAGCCGTCTCTTTTCCTCGCGGTGCAGGATTATACAGCTAATACAATTGTTGGCTGTATGAATGCAAATTACTTTGTCTTACTTTAGAATAAGGGTTCGCGCTAAAAGCGAATACCACATAAACGAATCCCAGAAAAATGTTCATAGTTTTTAACTCAATTTTGGTTAAATTATTAAAATATAAACCGCTCAATTGATATCAGTGTCTTATTTTAACAACAATATTCATTAAAGGGGACTTTCAATGTTCAAATAATGTAATGCCTTAAATAATTATTCCCTATCTACAATCTACATTTGGACAGGTTTCCGCTACGATTTTGTTGTATCTAGCTAGGGTATTTAATGTCGTTGTTCATAGGATGTAATTCAGAGATGACATTTGTTATAAAGTTAATTGGATTACCCGAGTATACTAAGGTTGTTAAAATAATTTGATGAATGTATTTTGTTGGTGTACCATAAAATAAAATTACTGAAAGCAGATACGGTCGGAAACGACGACTTATGGCTCAATTACAGTTGGTCGTTAGCCCGTATTCTGCACCCGAATGATGAGTAGAATTAAGACATTACTCGAATTCGGGCACCCGAAGTGTCGGGTAACCAAAACGAAAACTTTTTGAATACGGGCGTACTCGACTGCGTTCATATACACTTAGTCATTTATAATGAATTCCATTGGCTCGTGGAATGACAGCCATTACTCTGCCACCAGAGAGATACAGTGGTCGACAAATATTAAATTGACAAAACCAAAATGGACACATCACGAAGAACCAAAACGATATATAAAACGATACAGTCGGAAAATGTAATAAGGTCGCTCTTACATAGTTCCTCCCGGTCCAGCGGCCTGGAACCGCCGCCGAAGAGGCCGCGGAAGAAGCTCTCCTTGGGCGGTTCCGGCATGTCGCGCGGCAGAAACAGCTCTCCCAGCATCTCGTTCAACTGCTGACTGTGAATACAACAAATCTCAAGGCAACTTCCAAGGCACAGCATTTAGGTCTACACTACAGTCTATTCAACTTCCTTTGAGACAAAACGTACACAAACTGTAGGGTGATCCCTACATGTTAAAATAAATGATATTAAATTGATATGATATTGATTTATAAATGAAACACACGATGCTGATGAATGCCTCATTCGACACAGTACGATGACTCATACACAAACCAAAAAAGGGTTTTCAATCGTTCGAATTTTATAGGCACAAAGTCATGATAAGAAAAAGTGATATTAAAAAGACGTAAAACTAGCTATTCTCAAACTTCGAACGCATTATAATACTTATTAATTAAAGAGTACTGATAAAACAAAAGTTTACTCGTACGTTGAAATGTGAAACTTTGTTTTCAGTCTGCGTCTGTTTACACCGGCCATCTTTACTCTCGATAAAAAAAGTTTTGGAAACATTGATTTATTCATTAACCTTTTATCTCAGAGGAAGTTGAATAGAGTATAGAGTGATGGTCTTTTATTTTCTCTGGGAAACGCGTGTCGCCTTATTGTCTCACAGGATATATCTACGAAGACTGGGACGGCATGGTAAAGGTTTTTGCCATGTCTGACCGTAGGAGGAGATGGCTGGTACAAACCAGCTGGGAATTTATACCCTTGATGGAGTTTCAATCTTCATCAGTTTTTTGTTCGTGAAATCATATTTCAGGTAATTTAGTTAAATGAACACTACATAATTTTACTATGGATAACAATTTTATATAACTAACTCCTGGTTTATTGGATACCTGGTATATATACGGATTACAAATCAGATGACTAGAGTTAGAGAAAAAGTGTGACAGCTCTGATGTTGTAAAAGTCTGTACTACAGGATCTTTTGTTTTAAGTCAGGTTTCCATTTCATCGGTCGGTATTGGTAGCTCACCAGAACTCTGCGTCGATTGTGAACTTCTGTATCTCACTGGGCGAGGCGAGGTAGAGTCCGTGCCCACGGTTGCTGAAGCAGAAGGTCCGCGCTATCCTGCAACACCAGCGTCGCACCGATTAGACATACTGTACTCCATTAAATTACATGTAACACTAGTAAAAATATTTTAACAGATGACTACATCTGTAGTCATCATAAATACTAATTTAAGACAATTTGCAGATGATTCTTTCACTAGATTTTTGAGTTTTTGAGACAGGATTAAAGAATATTAGGTACGAACTTTACAAATCTTACGTTATTTCTAAATGTAAGTAAGTTATCTGAAAATTGAGTCTCACCTCGTCATCCATCCGTTTCTTCATGAATTCTATGAGACAAAATTAATTTCTAACATATAAGCGCTAACATTTACTATGAACATGTATTTGAACTGAAGTCTCTATTCAGTCATTTAGCTAAATACGATGAAAGGAAACCGAAAAGTTCCACATAGAGCACACGGAACGTTGAAGCGCTCATGCTGAAAGCATAGATCAGATCTGTAGAGTGGAGCAAAGAAAAGTCAGCGAGTGAAGCCGTTACAGTGGACGGTCGATGTGTGGTGAGTACTGTGTACGTGTGTGTGTGTCGCTGGAGGTGACGCACAAGATATCGTCGGACAGTAGGGGATCTAGACAAGCAGAATCTCAGGCAGCCGTTCCGGGCCGGGGGAAGCCGTCCGGACCGGCCGGCCAGCGACGCCTTTACGTGACCCACTGCGTGCGGTCGCCGGCCGCGTCCCGACGACTTCCCCCGAACCCACTAGGTACTGTAGACACAACAGGGAGGGGTCGAAGCGATCGTGAACGGAACATGAACAAACATGTCTAAGGAACGCAACAGAGGCCGGAGCGAACCACTCCACATGACAAGTGACGGCACGAGGCTATCGTATGGACGGTCACTTACTGGTCCGTGTCCTCGTTTACAATGAGTTGCTGGCCCCATATGGAGAGCATTGGGTCTACGATACCCCTCTGTTTGGTCTGTGTCTGGAAGCTACCAGGAACACAGACATCGTCAGTAAGTATGCGGCCGTACGCAGCGCCCGCGGCCCCCGCCCCCCGCCCCCCGCCCCCCCGGTGGGGCGAGGGGGGCGGGCGCGGGGCGCGGGGGGCGAGGGGGGGCGTGCGGGGGGCTATCGGTACATGAGCTAGCTAACGGGCGCGGGGACTAACGCTATCGGTCGGGGTCCAGTCGAGCCGGCGGCTAATGGTCGGGTCGGAGCGTATGTACATCGATCGGCGGGTCACCGGTCGTTCTTGCACCGAGGGTGGAGTTGTGTGTTCGAGTGGTGTCGGGCGATGTCCGCTTACGTTTTCAAATCAAAAATAGATAAAGAGTGCCAAATATCGGAAGCACAGGTGGTGCTCGAAAGAGTTGCAAAATTTTGTCTACTTTGTGATTAGAAGTAGTACGACGTAGCGTCAGCGGCGGAGTGCTGCGACAAATCCAAATAGATAGTGACACCGGGCTCGCTCGGCGCGGCCCGACGGACTCGTCGGTCTCGTCGGTCTCGTCAGACCCGTCGGGCCGCGTCGGGCCGCGCCGGGCGAGGCTACTATGCTAACATCGATATCAGTACAGGAACTCAGATGTGAGGCTCCCAAATGATAAAATAGCAAATGATCACAAATAAACATGATCTTCGACAGATGATCGGGACGTACGATATGAATGCGAAAACCATACAATGAGAATCGATCGTTCGGTTACAATACGACTAAGTATTAGTGATAAAACTGCGAAGCTTGAGGCTGAAAATGTACAAGTAGTAAAATAAGCCGTTTATCATTTAGTGCCTTCGTTTAGTGCATAGATTCGTCTAGGTGATCTGCGTGTCACGGGACAAGCCGACCCCGCGGGCCGGAGCAGGACACCGAGATTCAAGAGTGGGGCGAGCGGGTCGAGTCTGCACCGGGTTGGGCAGACGAGAGGCGGGCGGGGGAGGGGGCAGGGGGACAGGGGAGGGGGTGACGGGAACTCACCTAAGTTCTGAGAGAGGGAGAAAGTCAACGTCTACGAGCGGCCGCAGGGAGGGCAGGCTGTAGGCGACCAGGTGGCCGGTCGACAGGTAATTGACGAGACATACACTATCTGGAAGTCAACAAGCGAAAGATTCCATCGAATTGCTCACTCGCTCGAGCGAAGATGAATCATTAACAACGAGCGGGATCACAAGAATCTTGCACATGTTATTTGTTAATATCACAAATTCATGCGTAAGTTTAAATAGTTCCAACTAGAAACGCGGAAGATGTTTTACAATATCTTGCGATCGCTCGCGGTTATCGGAAACATTCATCGCCGAGTGAAGCATTTCGATGGAAGAGTAAAAAAAGATCATAGAGCGCATCGGAGTCAAGATCGCACCGCAGAGAATGATCTCACCCTTGAGGCTGACAATCTCCGCTTTAACCACGAAGTCTGTGTCGACGATCTGCTGTCTGTAGACGCAGTTCTGTGAGGGTAACGCGACGACTCGCGCCTGCTTCTCGGACGCTATGACGACGAACTGTCGGTCGCCGCCGCCCGCCGCCGCAGAGTTTCCACTAGCTCCCGTCTCCGAGCCTGGCGTGGGGGACATGCCCCGCCCACTGCTACTCGAAGATGTCTGCTTCGTGGGCGTACGATCCCGTCTTGAGTTTCCCTGACACAAAATACGCCCGTACTAACGAAACATGACCAGGCGACTTCGGTTAAACTCACATAGTCGACGTCGTGTGGTCAAGCGATAATAATATGTAAATCTGATGCAACGGTATCTATGTAGCAACACGATCACAAACTTAAAATATCATCTTTAAATTAACAAATTTGCAAAAGCACGGTCAGCTCACTTACTATTATATATTTATTTATGAGTCTAATATGAATATTAGTCTTGTTCAATAGCAATTTCAAGCTGATGTAATTCAGTATGAATAAGTACTACATTAAACTTGTCGTTACTTACTTCTTTACTATCGTCTTTCCAACTTTCGTATGAATAAGGTATAAGAGCACCGTTACAGTCGAGAAATGACATAGCTAGTATTGAGCCTTTTAACCTAAAAATGGGTCCACCTGAAACAAACGCCAGCATTTACTCAATGATAAACTATTATCTTCAAATAGTAAGAAATCACAAGGATGTCATTAAGTTGGGCCGTTTTCTTTATTCCATAGAGCAAGGGGAAGCTTAAATCGAGATTTTGTCGTTTCACTTAAGATACCTACAGGAAGGTCCTGAATCGTCTAGTTGAAAAACTGATTCAGATCTTATTCATCGACTTCTTGTATGAAATGAAAAAAAACCGTTTACCTGTGGTGGAAATGAGCACAGGCTGCGTCTGCCGCGAGTCCGCGTCGGGCACATTCAGCTGCATCGTCAGCACGGAGCCCAGCGACGTGCCCACCCACAGCGTCGGCACCAGCATCGTCGGGTCTGGCAACCGAGAAACCAAGCAATAATTCAAGACTTTATCAACATCATGAGCCTATAAGAGACAATTCTTGGGCACACACTTTGCCGATGGGCAGAAATTTACAGGGAGTACGGGATGGGTTATAACTCATCAGGTGAGCTCAGTAAGAGAAGGGTGATGATGTATTTGGCACCATCGGCTTAACATGATCATGAACTCGTTGGATATTACAATTGCCAGAGGAGATAACTTAATATGTTTAACTGATGAGGCTCGGTGGACCAGAAGTGATTCCCTTCGGTATCAGTTTGCAAAAGTCAAGCAACTTTTGGGAATGTTCTTTCTTTGAATAAACTTTAATTGGTTGGATTGTCAGCTTATTTCAATTTTATAGACAAACGGTGAACATGTTTGTTGTGTTCATGTTTAAAGCACTCAGAATCTGCATTGGATTTTCAGTTCTTTTCATGAGATGGGCCTCAGTTGTGCCCAACAGCAGCAGGAGAATGATGATTCAGAATGTGTATAAAATATACAGCCGGAGCACCTCAGGGTAAGAGGGTTCAAGACGTCGATGCGAGGGTGGCATAAACCTTCCACATATCAGCTATTACGCACCCTAACATCAGGCGCTTTCTAGCAATAGCAGCTTCTTCTTCTAGCAGTTATTAGGTGAGTGCTTTTGTAGGTTTAAATATAACTAGCTTCAGAACACAGATGTGTATTCAAGCGCGAAAAAAATTTGCTTCTGCAGTAGTTGGTATTACAGACTAAAGAAAATAATAAAGTGACGTCATCTCACCTGATTTCTTAGTATAGCTATCGGCGAAGGCGAGGCACTGAATGGCCTCCTGCGAGATGTTCTCCAGACTTGACATGGAGCTGGAGCGCGACCGCGAGAACGAGCTGTCCAGCTTGTCTGCGCGCGCGCCGGCAACACAACAACACGTTACCGCCCCGCTCCCGCCCTACCCTCCCCTCCACTCCCCCGACCCGCCCCACTACACCCACGGACCAAACACAGAGAGGAGCTGCCGTTTCAATGTAGCACAGATGCTACCAATGTTGTATTTCGGTAATTATTTAATTCTAGCCACTCAACACCAGAGGCCCCAATATCATTGGAGGGACCCTATTTTTGTGTCTTACATTTATAAATGTGCCCGTTTGAATCTTTCTCTTATAATTTCTTCAGCATAACATGTACACTTTTTTATAATTTCTTTAGAAACCTATAAACATAGCAGTTAACTTCATAAAAACTGAGAATATTTAATAAAATTCATCAGTACGTTGACACTACTGCAATCTATTAGAAAATAGTTGCTCATTGGTTCACGTCGTAGCGTTTAGTTTCCCTTCTCTCTACTAGGGTTGATAATGGAACTGTAAATGCTCCCCGCGACACCGCTTAGTGGCATGGTTACTTAGAGAAACCCATACCACATCTCCTCTTTGTATTTGCTTCGTGCACACAGCACCCTCGTGGGGCGAGATAGGGGATCGGAGACGCGCACGCGGTGACGGTGATATTCACCCAAACCAGAACCATTAAGCGTTCAAAATTGCCTATTAAACTGAGTAGGACTACATTTAAATATGAACTACTTTATGGCGTTTGGCGCAAAAACTAATAAAAATAGGATTCATGACATAAGGTTGCACGGTGAATTGTTCCTCGTAAAATTTGTTCCCTATCATTTAAATAGATATAAAATAATTAACATCTATTTTGGCGATATAATTGACTTGTTCAAGTATTCGCTCTATAAATTGGTTACCGTCTGCACCCTTAATGGCAGCACTAACGAACGCATTCAGAGAGGTCAATTAATATTTAAGTTTCATTAAAGTCAATGCTGTCATTTTCGTTGCAATTACAACAGAAAACGATAGACCACACGTCACTTTGACAAGCATGTTAATAACGTGCCTGAGTACAACGTTACCAGCGGTATTAGGTAGTACTGCGTATTCATTGTCATGGACTTTGATCAACAATTCTATAGATGCATATAAAATCAAAGCTTAAAAACTGTCCGCGTATGTTAAATATTATGCAGCTACATTCGATTTCCAATTCAGAAAACAGTTTCAGTTAAACGAATAACAAATATCTCACTAAGGTTACAAACAACAAAATGTTATTTCGCACATACGACTCTTTTATCTTATAAAACGAACTCTTGTTCCCTTTATAAATTATATCTGAGATTTGGAAAGAAACGATAAAGGTAAAAAAAGGAAAATGTGAAATCAACCTTATGACCCACGAAATAAAATATTTTTAGCAGTCATTGACCAGTGAGTTACTTCGGTTTGTATTAACTGAACTAATTTACAATAAGATCTCATGCCCCAAGTGAGGCTTTATTTACCGAGATGGAATTTTCCCGCTGATTATCCCGTTATCTACAGAATTGTTGATCGAAGGTCATAAAGGAAGGACTTGGATTGTTCATTGCCTATGAATCCTCCATCCCTGAATACTAAATCTACTATTACATTTTAATAATTTGAACGCTTAATCGGTTCAGGTTTTAGTGAATATGCAGAATGTGTTATTGACTGTCAGCTCTTGGTGTGTGACCGTCACCAGGTGCGTGGAGATTCGACTCGTCTATAGTCTACATAACACATGGCAAGTAAAGCTAGCAGTGGCTCACGAGGTGTTCCAGTGCAGTTGTGGAATCAGCTGAAATCATTCAGTTCGGTGCGGCATTACTCTCTGAGGTGTGATTCGAGAAAATATATCAGAGAAGGTTCATGCTTAAACGGAACGTGTGATTGCTTGCCCGTCCAATCTCAGCTTATTGCACAACGTCTTCCCAGCTAGCCGGCCGCCTGCTAAAACTATCACCTAATCGCATTTTTAGTATCCAGACTTAAAACAGATGGTTAGATACCAAAGATTATTTTACGACATACAAATTTGACAAAACACCATTTGCATGAAGTTAGCCGTCGATTCTTATTATTTTTGTTTTTATCAACTATTAATATTAAGAATTAGCTTCAAATGAGGGATCGGCGGATGAAAGCGAGCGGTTTAATAGTTTCTATATACGAATGGGCCCAGCAAAACAAATGGTATGGTATGAGGGGACGGATGGGTGGTGTAGAAGCGGCGCCGGCGCCCTCCGCAGCCGTCACCAAGCTTTCCTACTCACCCGCGGCCGTTCAACTACCCTCTAAGTTAGTCACTACCGGAAGCCCGGATCTAACCCCGTGTCACTAACACCAAGCATCGTGGACGGACAGACAACGCGACATAACATAACGACTACGTGACAGGGTGCAGGGTGCATAAGAGGCAGCGCGCATGCATCTAGTGCTAATAAGAAGATTGTAAGCATACATAGACATAATGACAGCCGAATATAGAGGCAGCCAAAAACGAGCCATTTAATCTTTTTGCTTTGTGGTCGAGCTAGAAAAGAAATAAACAGTCATGTACTGAAGAGCGTCAGGTCAGTAGGGGCGGCGCGGGCGGACCGCGCCCGCAAGCCAACTAAATATATATATATATATATACGGTGAACGAGTGAGAGCAAGTTACGACCAGAAATATAACATATGAGAATATACGAACATGTGTCTGATACAATATGGAAAGCCTCGCTTAAATTATATTATGCACATGTAACAATCAATCGGATATTATCGCAACACTGAATAAACTGGTAGATTATATAAATAGATAATAGTTTTGAGTAGTAAGTCACCTTTTACATATTATTCTATGAGTCATGCCACTTGAAGTCATCAAACTGAGTGCAATCGAAGTGTCGTGTGAAGAGGAGAACATGACAGAACAGTCACAGCCACAATCGCGACTAACGGTACTCAACTACGGTGTGGTGGTGAAACGAAGCCACGGAATAAACTATCCAAATAAATAAAAGATAATAATAAGAAAAAAGTAAGAATCGGATGCATGTTCGGATACCATTGGGTTGCATAATGTGTAAGTACTCCATAGATGCGAGAGACTGCGGAATAGTTGGTTCTGTACCGACAAATAAAACCAAATATGTTACAAGCATGTTCTCACGGACAAGGTCTAGTGCGACGCGAGCGCGGCGTGCGGCGGCGCCGGTGCGCGGCCTCCGGGCGGTCGGACCATCGCCGGACGGTCGCCGGACGGCAGCCGGACCGTCGCCGGACCGTCACCGGGCCGCCACCGGACCGCCGCCGGACGCCGGGCCGCGCGCACGCATCCTCACATCGTACAGCAACAGACCGCGCGGTCGTTCACGACACACCATCGAATAGAGGTCTCATTCCGGACGGCAATGAGGTACAAACATAGGAAACACTACTCAAGTATGAACGGAACAACTAGAAAATAAAATTATAACGAAAAGTGTGGTATAATCCAATGATTACCTATCAAATGATTCCGATCTGAAATTGGAAATTGATCAAATCAATAACAGAAATATAATAAAATCAGAGCATGCTCGCGGCAATGCATGAGGCGAGACAGAGCGCGTCTGTTGGTCGGGCGGACTCTGTGAGCATGTTTTGTTAGTTAAGGTATCAATTTAGGGTGTTCTTTTATGTTTCAATTTAGTATGACTAATTTTGGGTGTCAGTTGCCAAAATTCTTATAATATACGGTGAGATTTTTATCAACCAAGAAAACTGTGAAGTCGTGCTTCTTTTACGAGTCTTGGCAATTATCTACAAGCAACATGTGCTTGAAAATGATTGCTCAGTTTTTGGATGAAACATGACTGACATATTTATTGGTGAATAAGAACTCACGGTGTATAGTGCGAAGTTGAACATAACGACGAGTCAGAACTTTATGGGTAACAACATATTGGTGAAGTTAAAATTGATGGTCGTCGTATGTTCAACTTGTCAACTCGTGAAGATGTCAGTTATAGAGATGAAGGAAGTATAACAGTGAGTGAAGAGGAAAACCGAAGATAAATAAACCAAACAGACGAAATTAAATGAGTTTACATAATACCTGAGCTCGTCTGGTGACGTCATAGAAAGTTATAATTTTTCTAGTAGTTGTATAGCATTTGTATCCATTAGAAAGATTTCCACTAAGTATGTTGTATAAAGCATTACAGTATTAAAATAACACAACGAGAGTATTCATTTTATCAGAATTTGATCTCTCGACTCAGCGTTATTTTGAAATATTGAATAATATAGGCAACGCTCCTTGCGGGAAAAGAAACATGATATCACTTTGCAAACTTACAAGCGTAACGATTTCAATGAATCATAATTTCATCAGTCTATCGTTATCGGAGACGATCGACGACGATAGAGGATTCGACGATCCGGAGACGACACAGACGAGTAACAAAAACATAACAATAGAAAAAAAAGAGAAACAAAAGAGGCGAGGAAACTGCGACTGTTGTCAGAACGGAAGGAGACGAGGCCGATAAGGTGACTACTACCAAAACTGCAATACTGGCGCGTCGTCAGCAGCGACGGTTGCGGGGCGGGGGGCGCGTTGTACACGTCCGACGCGGTGGAGAGGCACTTGTGCAGCTTGCGGGTACCTTGCGAGCGCGAGCGACGCACGCGCGCGCTGGCCGAGCCTCCCCCGCCCGCGCCTGCACCCGTGCCTCCCCCTCCCGCGCCCGCGCCCGCGCCCGCGCCCGCACCCGTGCCTCCCCCGCCCCCGCCTGCGAGCGTGCCCGTACCCGTGCCTCCCCCGCCCCCTCCGCCCGCGCCCGCGCCAACTCCCGTGCCCGCGCTCGCACCGCCGACGCCCGCGCCCGCGCCGCCCCCGCCCGGCCCGTTCATCTATAACACACACACCCCTGCACACCCACGCGCCCTGCCGACGAGGTTAGTCACCCGCCACCACTGCCCCTTCTCCCTCCACCACCGTCTCCTTCCGCCCTCCCCCCTCCGCGTTCACATCGCATTATTTACATTGACGATTTCACAGTTAGCAGTTTTGATACCATCAACTGTTCGATGATCGGATGTCCCTTGCCCGCATGCGATTCCGGT